GCCTTCATCAACCTGAAACTAGTTCGGAAATCTTCTGCACTCAGCCAGCATAAAGAACAGGATCCACATTTTCAACACAAATGTGAAGTCGGTCCTTCTATACTAGTCAGAAACTTGCACTGCGTGTCACGAAAAGGATTTCCAACAGATTGCAGACTTTTATCAACAACTGCCCACTTCGCTGGCTCCATACTGATAATTGAATGGCCAGAAAGAATAAGTAACAAGAAACTGTGGGAGCAAACCAACCAAGAGCCGATTGCTCAACAAATAAATAGGAGAAAATGGAGATGGATTGGGCATACATTGAGGAGACCGTCGGATGACATCGTGCGCCAAGCCAGTGCCTTCGAGTGGAATCCAAATGGGAAGCGAAGAGTGGGTCATCGGTGTGAGAATGACACAGAGGAGATCATGTAGTGAGGAGGAGATGAGAGATTATGGGCAATCGCAGAACTAGCTGTAGAGGACGTCAGAAAACAGAACAAAGTGGAGCTGTGTTGTTGAAGCCCTATGTTCCACTCGGAACCCAAGGGAACAATAATAATAATAAGACAAGAATATAAGACCAAGCAGTTCAGCGAAGAGTCTCTTTTCGGCGAATTTATTCACTCATCTGTATAACCGCAACTGTACATAATTATTTTGTGTGTGTATGTGTACATCAGGATCGTCAAACAAAAATAAAAATTAGTCAGGGTTATTGGTTACGTCATCTAAACGTTTCAGAAATGTGGTGAATAATCAAATCTTTGTTAAATTGTAACCAGGGGGCGGTGAAGATTGGTAAGTATTGAAAAGGGGTGCGTAATCTGTAAGACATCCGGAAAAATAGGATGTTAATGAAAAAGCTTGGAGACATATGTCCAAAATAAATTATGTAATAGGCAGAAAGAGTAAATAAAGATGTCATACAAAAATTCAAAGAAGTCCTTATTAACAAAGTAGTGGGATTTGGAATTATACCCACGGTAGAAGGAGGCAGTGGAGAAGTTCTCTATCCGGATCGCTGACTTCGGCACTGCAAAGTATGTGGAAGCTCACTGTTTATTTAGGGGCTTCTTTTGACTTTCTAGATGATATTGAATGAATTTCCCTCACATATTGAGTGACCAATGTTGAATATATGTTCAATTATAGCACTCCTTACTGGTCCATTGTTACCTTTTCGTAGCCAAGCGGGGATACTGTTCTTTGACTCTTTTAGATAAGAAACAGGCATCGAATGACCTGTATATCTCGCTCCAGATGAGGGAGTGTGGCTTATTTTTCTGTCATTTGGCAGCTGATAACTGAATAAACTAAATTATATCTATCTATCTATCTTTCAACAATATCTACAAGAGAGGGAGATAGAAAAACTGACAGAAAGAAGCATTAAAATATGAGGAAAAAGAAAACAAATCAAGGTTTAATGAGAATAATTACAGGAGTGAGAACTTCGCCACTATTTCATCACTTGTATACATACACAAGTGAAAAAAAGGAAAATATTTTTAACTTGAAATGAATAGAAGAAATTTGCTTATTGAACTGATATGTTGTCGAAAAGAATGAATGAATTCTAGATGAAAAGGGATAAAAGTAAAGAAAAAAACTATAAGGAATCCTATTCGGTCGACAAAAGCATTTTTTTGCTTGATAAGAGTTTTGAGGAAATATAATCATGAGTTTGGCAGAAGTGAAGATAGGACTTGAAGTGAGTACAAAGAAGGAGGCAGAGGTGGTGAAGATACTTAGCCAAGCATCGACCGCCATCAATAGAAGAAGTGTAAACGAAATCATCCCTTTCACTTACATGGCTAGGCAACTGCTTTTCAGCTACAAGTTGCGCAGGTAAGGGTATTGAAATCAGGCCCGGAAAAGCAATCCAGACCATCATTATTTTTTAAATATTTTTTTATTATAGCTTGATTCCACACAGTACTTTTGATACAAGTATGGAATTTTCAGCATGTGATATCGGTAGCCCAAATTTTGCAGGCGGACCAATGGTATCAGGTGTGCGTCGGCCGGGGATCGAACCCCGGACAACGTGCGTAGTCGGCGAGAGTCCTAACCACTGTGCCACCGACGCGGAAGTCTACTACAGTCAGTATAAGGAATAAGATCCGAATCTTTAACCCTGACGTCAAATTATTGCCACAATACGTTTCACAAACTTGCCGCACCAATTACCAAAAGCATTTCTAACAGGTCGCTGGAGACTTCCACCAACAGCTGTCTTCGCTGACTTCATATTGGAGATCATATATGGTCAGAAACGATTAGAAACAAGGGACTCTGACATATAATCGATCAATAATCTGTTGGCCAATAAATATGCAGAAGGAAGTCTGGATGTATTGCACATCTACTGAAGAGACAGTTAAGTAAAATAATGCACCAGGCAGTCGAGTGGAACCTTAATAGGAAACGACGTGTTCTGTGTGTGGGGAGGTCTGAGGTTCACACTGGAGAAGATCTTTTTTAAAAGGAAAATGAGGGCTGTAGATAACAGGATGAAATGGAGATGTGCTCTTGAAGGCCTGTGACGCACTGGTAACCGAAGGGAATAGTAACAACATTCATGAGCAGACAATATTAGGAAAATCATCGGAGAATAAGAAACATCATCTATCTTTACCATCTTAGTTTGAGACATGTTCGAAAATGGTGAAATCGAAAAGAGAATGAGTAGGTCTACCATTGGTCAGGTTATTACTCAACCATTCGTTTTAATCCTTTGCGTTCCCAGTGGAACATAGGGCTTCAAACTAGAGGCTTGAAGTTTTCACAGCAGTGATGTTTATTTTTACGGGATGGGGTGGCTAGCCTCAGTCCTAATCTTCCCTCTTGACCAGTCTTATCACTCAACCACTTAGTCCATATAAATATTCAATGGCTTGTTCTTCCCAGGCTGCACCAAGCTCTTGCTGGATTTCATCCTTGAAAAACTTTCCTCACACCTTTTCCTTTAGGTATCAGCATTATGTTGGAGCTGAGTGGAAGAGTTCGGATAGTGGAACAGTTATTAATGGATGACATCACATGACAATCATGCTAGTTCAGAAACTGATAACACCAGATCACGTCTAAATGGTAAATTTCAAATCGTTCAATCTGAATGCTCCTTGGATTTATCCACCACTGGGTAGTGAACAGGTTTTGATGAAGCATCTTGTTGCTTGTAATGCCTAAAGATGACAAAATCTGCCTCGAAAAGGTTGTGCAATTCATTCAGAGAAGTCGCCAAAACTTGCAAACTAGCAACTTGATGATCTCTGATCCAGGACTCTACCGAATGTGATACAAAACCCAAGGTATCACTATCCCAGTATCCCAGTCTTGCAGCATTTATTTTCTAATTGTGGTGGACATACGACTGTTGTCCTGCTCCTGAATTACGCTGCTAGTCTTTTATTCTTACCCCTCTCTCAGAAGAGCTGAATTACAGACACATAAAGCACATTTAGCTGAATAATCAAACGGTATTTCTATGGTTGTATCCTCCAAATTTTTAATATGTTGTGAGAAAACAACTAACACAGACGTGAAAGGAAACAGGGACCATGAGGGACCGGCTACCAGAACTGGTTCTTCAACAATGCCTTATTATTATTATTGTTTCCTTGGGTTCCTAGTGGAACAAAGGGCTTCAACTGCACGTCTCCACTTGTTTCTGCCTTCTGCCGTACTTTTCACTTGCATCCATGTTAGTCCATACTCTTTCAACTCTTATTCACACGATCTCCTCCATGTCATCCATGGACGTCCCACTCGCCACTTCCCTTTCGGGTTACACTCGAGCAATGGCCTGACGCGCGATGTCACCCAACGGCCTCCTCAGCGAGTGTCCAATCCATAACCACTTTCTCTTGCATATTTGTTGAGCGATTGGTTCTTGTTTTGTTTGTTCCCATAGTTTCTTGTTGGTGATTCTTTCCGGCGGCCATCTGATCTTCAGTATAGAACGAAGACAGTCGTTGATAAAGGTCTGCAACAGACTGTTGGAAATATTCTTTGTGACCCGCCAAGTTTCTGATCCGTACGTATAGGAGAACTGATTGACTTGACGTTTGTGTTGAAAATCCGAATTTTGTTGTTGATCCTGAGTGACGAAGATTTCCCGATTAGTTTCGGGTTGATGAATGTGTTTCTCGACTTCCCGATTCTCGATTTGACATCCTCGTCCGTTCCTCCTGTAGTTGAGACAATGCTCCCTAGATAAGTGAATGAAGTAACCTCTTTCAAATCCCTCCCGTTGATGGTGATTGGTGGTGGATGTTGCTGATGCTATTGTTGTTGTTGGTTGGTTATTTTCATAACCTCCGTCTTGTCTATGTTCACATGGAGTCCTGTCTTCTCTGGCTGCTTCTTCGACCAGTTTGTCGGTTTTTGCTTGTAAGTCTTCGATTTTGTGTGACATCAAACATAAATCATCCGCGAAATCCAGGTCTTCTAGGTTCTTCACGTCGGTTCAGGACATCCCTGTCTTCTTGTTTCCCACTGTCTGATGCATAATCCAGTCCACCACAATTAGGAATATCATTGGTGATAATAAGCACCCTTGTCTGACTCCTCTGCCTTAACATAAGGCAATTTTGAAGATGTTAGCAATAACAGTGAAATCGAAGAAATATCTTTCCTCCTATTTGCTAATTGCTAGCTGGGTGAATGTGTATCCTTTAATGAGTAGAAGGAATTCTCATTGAGACTTGGACCCAGAATCAAATGTTTCAAACTACAAGGCGTTCTTATCTAATTGACCAATGAGCAATCAATGGTCCATTATTCATATCAAATGACTATTGATTTAATCATGTTTAAGACTGAAGTATTGATCGACGAATTCAGTATCTGTTTTGCTTCCTATCCACAAAAAGTTAAGTTAAGCCAAGAGTAATCAGCTCTGTCTTCATTTAACAAACGGACACTTTCAGGATTTTGGTGTATTGCTTCTTCGCATTTTTTTATCCTATTGTGATTAATTTTCTTTCGCTTCATTTCTTTCCTTTCAGACTGTATTTCCGGCATCTCAACCAGAAAGATTAATTGATTTGAAATCCACTGTTGATTTGCTTACAAGTATCACATTTTTCAGACTTAAAGTAAGCTGATGTTATTTTTAAAGAAAAATGTAACCTGTCATCATTAATTTTATTTAAACTGTAGAAAATATTCTTCTGTTTTTTAATAACAGAATGACTAGTTAGAAAATTATGTGCAGTGGATGTGTAGCGTTTGCTACTGATAAGATTTTTATCAGTAGTATATAAGGACACGTTCGTCGGGATAAAAATATCAAATAGCAGGGAGACAGATTTGATATCGGAGAAAGTAAATGATTCAGCGTTGCAGAGAAACATGGGGAACGTGAATGGAATAAAAATAAACACAATTTGAAGACCATAAGTTGAACTACACAGAAGATCTGTGCAAATAGTGTTTTGAAAATAAGGTGTTCGTAATTTTGCTACACAGCAATAGAGCCAAGGCCCAGCTAGAAGTGCCACAGGTGGAAATCGGACCCGAACCATGTATTTTACTCTCGAGCCTTCTAGCAATGAACCACTTACTATTCAGCATTACGACTCATAACCCTACTGGGGATCAGACTCAGGGAATTCAGGTTACAAGGCAAGCCTGTTGATCATTCAGCCACTGGGACATACAAGTGCATGCTTAAACTTATACACAAAGAGCAGTTGGAATTTTGGCTTCACAATCTTTGAGTGTATCAGCTTGGAGGACACTTTGTGTCTCATTTCCTGATTAAAGTGTTAAACAAGAACCATGATACCTGTTAATTATTTCTGAAGAATACGTCGGTATATTGACCTTCTTCACTGACACTTGTAATTCTGAGAGATCACTGTTGGAATATTTAGATCTCTTAAAATGTTCACCGCTGTCAAACCCCCCACGGTCTCCCTTTCCCATACTATGTAGCCAAAAAAGCCAACGTCATCTATAAAATAGTTTTCACGAAGTTCCAAAACTACTATACTGGCTTAATTGGACGTCCTTTTCATCTTCGAATCCATGAACACAGTCAGACGACAACTGTGAACATCAATTGAACTGAAACAGCATAAAAATTTGTAGAGGAAGCAAAATGAATATTGGAAAATTCCTAGAAGCCTAGCGCTTAAATAAATTATGTTCAACAGACAGCTGAATAAAGATAAAAATGATTACATGAATGGATTTTTTGACGCTCTCTTCAGTTTCATTCTGTTATTGTTCACTTGATAATAACTAGTCAATAAACTCACGTCCTAAAAGCAACTATTTGTTTTGGCTCTATAAAACAAATGGCAAGGAGTCATCAGTAGAAAAAGCACATAAGATACCTTGTTGTACAAATGTTAGCTTTCATGATCAAGTGAAACCTAATGAATAACTCCTTGATTTTTGAAGCACTGGCTACTTAGTTTGAACATTAGTTACAACTGCGTTCCTTGAACTGCAAATTACCTAGTGGACAATTTCAAATAAAAGCGAATGTTTGTAACTCTTCATCAGTACACACCCACCAACAGAAGTTCGAACCCTGGACCTTCTAGTTACAAAGCTAGTGAGCTCGTGGACCACTCACTAGCCACTGCGACCCGACCCAATGGCCAGCCCATGAATTCCAACTTCTGTCAATTCACGACATAGCGCAACCATTTCACAGTGTCATCTTCGATGTATTATCGCCTCACCTTCAACCTGATGTACCCTAATGGTCACAGCTTATCAGGTCCTAGTGACTTAATGGTCTACGAGGGTCCTGAGTTGGAACCCTGCCAGTGGATGCGCACTGATGAAGATTCCCAAACTAGGCTGATGAAACAGTTTACTGTCCAGTCCTCTATGCAGGTTTTCCAATAGTTCTCTAACTGATGTCAGCTCATGATGAAATCCTACAACCAATCAAACGAAATCCCTGCAAAAAGCCAATACTTGAAATAGGAAATGTGTTTATCCAGAATCACACTTTCCATAACAATGAAGCAAAAAATCCAAATTTCCATGTTAGGTACTTTAGAAATGATAGTAACAAATTAAGAAAACCAGTACACGTATTTCAAGGGCTGATCTCCATTTAAAGTTTCACAGTCCCTATTGTTATACCTTGTTTTCTTTAGCGGTCTCCCCTAGTATGTCCTCTTTTCACGTTTATGTGTGAGAAGAAGATAGTCTAATTCGCCTTACTGATACAGAGTGTGACAACTTGTGCCAATATACTTTTTCTAAAGAATCTACGCTGTTGACTAAGATTGCCGGATGTATGTTACATATAGGCTTTCTTCTCCTAGTATTGATGGATGTCTAAAGCATCTACTCATTCTTCTGTTTCTCACATTTTACTTTCCTGATGGCTTGAATTCGGAGAGGGAGATTTAATTTTGCCTAAACATGTTCTTCTTCTTCTCACCCTTATGTTTGTACTTTCCCTTGAACTGATTTGTGAATTGAGCCGAGTGAAAGCATTCCACTCACAACAGTTTCTCCAATTCATATCCTCATGATTCTAGTTCAAATGCCAATTTTAATAAGGCCGGTGGGTTTTATGTCATCAACCCAAACGTTATTTCCATTAAATTGTTAGTCAACAGGCTACTAGAAGAAAATATGCCTATGTGACAAGTCGTATAATACAGCCACTGTCTTTTAGTTTGTTTTTCATTTCATATGAATTATTTAGCCTAGAATTTGAACGATTTCTAACGGGACATAATATAAGAGCTAAGTGTTTTGATAACTCCTAAGTAGGGGTATTTCTGAAATCTACTATTGGCCGATCGATAGTAGATGACATTCAACTAGAGAATGATGAAACAATAGTTATTTTTGATATAACTAGTCCTTATACTAATATACCAATCAATATGGCATTAAAAGCAGTTAAAAAGGAACTAACTGCAGATCTTGAATTCAGTCATAGGAAGAAGCTGCCCGTTGCGGAAATTATTTTAGGAATTCAGTTATCCCTCACATCTACTATCTTTAAATTCAAAGGCAAAATATATTGACAAACATAATGCATAGCAATGGTGAGGATCACCAATATCCCCTATCGTAGTAGATAACTTTATGGACAGCTGGGAAAATATTGCTCTTAATACATTTAATCCTACTCCGAAAATATGGTGGAGAAATTTGGATGACACTTTCAAAGTGTTAAAAAAAGAACATATCTCTGTCTAGCTTCTTGACACATATAAACTCACTAGTAGAGGGAATACAATTCACATTTGAATCAGAAAATGAACAAGGAGAATTAGCTATGTGGTTAGATTGTAAAATAAAACGAATAGAAGGTTAACTGCACACTAGCATTTATAAAAAACCAACACCTTCTAATAGATATTTAGACTTTCATTCATCACCTCATCCGTTATCTTTCTATGAAGGCAGGCGGCTTAGTTAAGTGTCTAACAAACTGAGCAGTAGCACTAAGTAGTACAAGAAAAGACCTAAATGACGGAATAAAACAGAAAGGAGAAGCGTTGGTATCAAACAACCATCCTATAAAATTCATTAGGAAGATCTAAAAAGATCAAAAGCAAATTAGAAATAATTGTGAAACTAGTAATGATAACATAAATAAGAGACAATATAAGGCATATACAGTTTTACTATATAAGGGGGGGGACATCTGAGACCCTATGTAGGATTCTTAATAATGCAGGAATTAGGGTGGCATTCAAACATACAAACTCACTCAGAGACAAGCTCTGTAGGCTAAAAGACCCGATGGACCCAATTAGACAAAACAATATAATTTACAAAATACCTTGCAATGACTCTGAGTGAGGTCAACTACATAGGTCAAACTAGTAGGTCGAGGGTAGTCAAATTGTCGGAACATAAGACATTAGCAAAGTTAAGATTGGTTGACCTCGCGAAGATAAGTAATTTAGAGAGATTTAAAACAGTTATAAATTTGGATAGCGTTACTAGAAGACGGAGATTATCTGAAAAATGTGATGTATTTGCGCTATATATTTCGAACAATCTGATCACACATTTACTTGTCAAGTCAATATATATGGAAAAGTTAAATTAAACAAAGTGACAAAAAAAAGAATTAAGAATAATTAACACAAACGTTTGGTAATCCAATCAAATAAATAAATACTCTGAGGCTATAGCTATTCACAAACTTAAGCCACCCTTGTCTATTCAAAAACAGTTTGTTATTACTCTTAACCTAACTTGGTAATCCCCTTATTTTATTGGATTACCAAACGTTTGTGTTAATTATTCTTAATCCTTTTTTTGTCACTTTGTTTAATTTAACTTTTCCATATATATTGACTTGACAAGTAAATGTGTGATCAGATTGTTCGAAATGTATAGCGCAAATATATCACATTGCTTTTCAGATAATCTCCGCCTTCCAATAACACAATCAAAATTTAGAGAGAAGCTCAGCAATAGGGTGGGAGAGCGTTGAAGTTCTAAAATGTAATATAGCTAGAAGCAGAAAGAGTGAGTTTGAATACTGAACCCTTGTGCGATGGGATGCAATGACTCATCACTCATACCGGAAATATGGAAAATACTACTACCAATCAAGTCAAGCGATGAAAAATAATGGAATTATATCAACAAAGTTGTGTGAGTAGTGTCTTGATATGATTATGAGCGGTAATAAATTGTGCTTGAAACGTGGTCATCAGTAAATATTACTGTATAACACTTTGAGACTATCAAAATAAATTTTACCCATAATGGAATCCGTTATGATATTTCTTCTTTGTCTCCGAGAAATGCAATACATTAATGAAGTTTTAAACCGCCTTATGAAACGTTTATCTTCGCCCAGAGAAGGTGCGACAGACCCATCCTTTTTCTTAAGTCATCAAACAAATGATCCATTCGCATGATAAACTTCTAGCCTTTCTGTCAAATCAGCATCTTACTAATAACTGTTTTCTCTTCTCAAACTGTCCAATAGGTTCAAGAACTCAGCTCTCCACCGAGAACAGGTCAAATATTACGTGAATGTATTGAAGCCTGTATACAATCCACCTATCAATGCCTTTGTGAAAATGTACACGATTTATACGGAAAGAGTTTACAGGTCAGTTTACCACTGTACTGCTGAACATTTTGTCTTATTTTTCTTTCTATGAAACGTCGAATTCAACTGATTCCATCGCATTTTAAAGTAATTTGTCTCACAAATTAATGCCAGATAGAGAGAAAGTAAAATTCACTAGATTACCTTTTTTAAAAATGTATTAGGTCTCAACTATGATGCACATGCATTTTTGATGAAAAGAAGCCACTTCAAAATCGATTAACGCCTAGCGCTATCCCTTCAATGCCTAATTTGTATTGCAGATTCAAGTTTAAGCATAATAAATGTATGTATTGATTTGATCAGTTCAAAATGACTATTTATGAAGACAAAGGATGTGAATGTCGACTTGTTTAGGACTCATCATCTGGATGTATATTAATCCTCAGGAAGTGATAGTGAGTCTTCACTACAGACATATTGAATAAATGCACAGTTTATGGCTGATGAGAATTCCTACAACACATAGTTGGTCCCGGCAACGAACATACCAAGATGGTGACAAGAAGGAGATCACTTGAAGAAGAAGAAGAACCGAAAGCTTTTAGGCCATCGTGCTAGTGAAGCCCAATATTTCATAAGGAATTCAAGAGGCGAATAGTAGTACAATACAATGTACAGAAGAACTATAACATTTACATTATTTTTCTTACTGGTCTACTGAGCATTAAGCACAGTGCGCCGAGTGCCTCGTCAAACTCCTTAAACATCTGATGACAATCTGTGAGATTATTATGCAATGGCTACTTGACTTTTATTCCTTTGCGTTTCAAGTGGAACACAGAACTTCAAACATTAGCTTTAAAGTTTCAGTAGCAGTGGTATTTTTCTTCGCAGAGTGAAGTTGCTACACTCACTTCCAACCTTGCCTGCTTACTAGGCTTACTGCAGTCTAAGTGGGGTTTGGGAGTGCATCAGCTGGGAATCGACTTGTAAGTATTCCACCACAAGCATAGCATAATTCATTCTTACTGGGGTTTTTCGTTGTTGTCGTTGTTGTTGTCCCCTTCACTTTGTTGACAAATTCTTGGTTATTCTTAATAATAGGCAACAAACACAGAGTCCGGAGTCTCAGAATGTGGATCCGAGAATGCAAGTAGTGGAGCGGGTGGTGGACAGCTGATAAACGGTGAATTAGATCAAATGGATGGTATGCGTTCACTAACCTATTGGCATCGTCTTATCACTCTCGTTGTATCTGTACTGGAAGACGATAGGAAGCATTACGCCCCAGTATTAAATCAGTAAGCATTTTTTCTTCAACAAAAACTTCTATTGCTTTTGCTTTGTTTTAATACGTATGCGCTATCAATTACAGCCTAAATCGGGGTTATTAATGAAACCCAAGGCAAAAGGATACAATCGTCATTGTAATGACTTATTATTATAGCATAACAGAAACAATTTTACGTACTACCTAAAAAGGAATAAGCAGAAATACCTGTCTGCCATTCCAACAAATATCAGAACTGCTCAGCCTCACTGAACAAATGGCACCTCTTATCTAGTGAAAATCTCGAGACCTTCTAAAAGAACTCTCTCTCTCAAGAGAAATCCATTGTAGCTTAGAAGTTGAAAAAAGGATATTCTGTAGTGTAAAAGATGATAATGCTTTTTTGCTGCGTCATTTGCTCAATCGTAGAATGCTCAATAATCATGTGTAGGTCTGGATTCGGTTCCTGCTCAGCTCACTCCTAAATCTTGTCCATAAGGCAAACAGACCAGAACAATAGGGATGGTTGGATGTGAGGCTAGTAACTTTATTCTCCACAAACACATCTCCACCGTTTCCTACTTCAAAAACTTGAAGTTCTATCTTCCAGTCCGAAAGTAAAGAATGAAAAACTAACAGTGAGATTGAAGTTAAACAAGCTTTTCGTATTACGTGTAATTTAGGTGAATAAGAGCAAACTTAGAATCATGACGTAGTAGCAACAGCTGTGCTAAGGAGAGTAAGATGGTGGACGGAAAGCTTTTCATTATATGCATGAAAAAAGCGCATTTATTTACTAAGTTCACTTTGAGGATTTCATCATGAGCTGACGTCGGTTAGAGAACCTATGGGAAACCATAAAGGAGTACTGGACAGCTGCGCCGTCAGCTTAGTTTAGGACTACTCATCAGTGCGTACCCACCCCATTGCAAGGGTTCACAACCAGGACCTTCCGGTTACAAGTTGAGAGAGCTCGTATACCATTAAAACACTGGAAGTCGACCCAAAGGCCAGCTCATGGATTTCAGCTTCTGCCAATTTAAGATATGGAGCGACTGGCACTAGCCAATGTCATCGGTGGCGAGTTTTTGTCCTCACACCCGACTTGCTCTACCCCCCAGTTAGGTAGTTACCTAGGTTCTAGTGGGAATTCCTGACCAGTGGGGTACATCAGGTCGGGTGTGAGGATAAATATTCGCCGCAGGTGACATTAGCTATTGTTAGTAGTGCCATATCATGAACTGGAAGGAGTTGGAATTGATGGACTGGCATTGGATCAACTCCCGGTGGTTTAATGATCTATGAGTTCTCTCACATTGTAACCGGAAGGTGCTGGTTGTGAACCATGCCAGTGGGTTGGGTACGTACTGATGAGGAGTCCTAAACTAGTCTGACGGCACAGTTATCAAGTACTCCCTGCTGGTTTTCGAGGACTTCTGTAACCGATGTCAGTTCACGATAAGATCCTGTAACCAATCAAATCCACCTAAACCAATTTATAAAATTTGAGTCCACTTGGTTTTCAGGACCAATCAAACACTCTTAAGTGGTACTCTTGGGATAAAGGTTTCTAGAATAAAGTCGGTATACTCATTTACATATCAAAACGAGTTAACTCCAAGGTGGGCATATCATACTCTTTACTGAGAGATGATGTTGTTTATACGATGAATAACAGAGAAACACAGTACAAACATAACTGAACCAAAAGTTGTGTGAACAAAGTGTATCAGTGTTTAGTTGAGTAAACAGTTTTGCTTACTTAATAAGCTAATTGTTTCTATCAATTGGTTTCACGTGAATTTTAGAACTAGGAAGATTACCTTCTTCGTGATAGACACTGTTTATGATTTAGCGGGTCTAAGATGCTCGAAACTGTGTCAGTGGCACAGCGGTAGAGTGTTCGCCGACCACGCAGGTGGTCCGGGGTTCTATCCCCGGCCGACACACTCCTTTACCTCGCTAAGTCATTAGTAATATTGTGGTGAGAGCGGTCTACTAGCCAAGTGGTGGACAGTAATTGAGGTCAATGTTTATGTATCAAATATTAGTCATGTTGTGGTGAGAGGTGGTTGCTGGCCAAATTGGTTGACAGTAATTGAGGTCAAAGGTCAAGGTGGATAGGCGGTTACAGTTAACATATAGATGAACTGACACAGCCACAAGAGATGCAAGGTCAACTTGGTGTGAGAAACAACCAATCAACAGACTGTATTTTCTACTAACATTCACCTACAATAATGTACATAAAAATCTATAAATACGTGTTGATTTTTCGTAATAAAGGATCTGTTGCCTGGCCCTTGTCTTCTGTTGTTACATTTGGTGTCGCTGCCTACCGACATATGGAAAGCCTATGCCCTGCAGTTTATGATGGAGACATATGGATCTTCGGGCAGGACTTTGAGGCTTCTTCGCAGTTGAGTGGCGTTCAAGATCTGTCAGCGATGAGGCTGCTACTTGGGACGCTGCTGGGAGGTCGGGAGAAAGCAGCATATGGAAGTGTGAGGCGAAATACCTACGAATGTGCGACAGGGTCAGGCAAACAGTTTCCAAAGCGGGAAGGACCATATATGGTCACGTTGAGATGGGGTTACGCAGACACAATCGCAATGTTAAACACCGTTAAACAAGTGGACATCCGCAAGCGCCGAGATTCCAGACAGCAAGACAACAGAGCAAAGCCCCAAGAACCGAGAAGACCGAGCCGACTTCAGTCCAGACTATTTGACGGGGGGACGAGTGTGGTGAGAGCGGTCTACTAGCCAAGTGGTGGACAGTAATTGAGGTCAATGTTTATGTATCAAATATTAGTCATGTTGTGGTGAGAGGTGGTTGCTGGCCAAATTGGTTGACAGTAATTGAGGTCAAAGGTCAAGGTGGATAGGCGGTTACAGTTAACATATAGATGAACTGACACAGCCACAAGAGATGCAAGGTCAACTTGGTGTGAGAAACAACCAATCAACAGACTGTATTTTCTACTAACATTCACCTACAATAATGTACATAAAAATCTATAAATACGTGTTGATTTTTCGTAATAAAGGATCTGTTGCCTGGCCCTTGTCTTCTGTTGTTACATTTGGTGTCGCTGCCTACCGACATATGGAAAGCCTATGCCCTGCAGTTTATGATGGAGACATATGGATCTTCGGGCAGGACTTTGAGGCTTCTTCGCAGTTGAGTGGCGTTCAAGATCTGTCAGCGATGAGGCTGCTACTTGGGACGCTGCTGGGAGGTCGGGAGAAAGCAGCATATGGAAGTGTGAGGCGAAATACCTACGAATGTGCGACAGGGTCAGGCAAACAGTTTCCAAAGCGGGAAGGACCATATATGGTCACGTTGAGATGGGGTTACGCAGACACAATCGCAATGTTAAACACCGTTAAACAAGTGGACATCCGCAAGCGCCGAGATTCCAGACAGCAAGACAACAGAGCAAAGCCCCAAGAACCGAGAAGACCGAGCCGACTTCAGTCCAGACTATTTGACGGGGGGACGAGTGTGGTGAGAGCGGTCTACTAGCCAAGTGGTGGACAGTAATTGAGGTCAATGTTTATGTATCAAATATTAGTCATGTTGTGGTGAGAGGTGGTTGCTGGCCAAATTGGTTGACAGTAATTGAGGTCAAAGGTCAAGGTGGATAGGCGGTTACAGTTAACATATAGATGAACTGACACAGCCACAAGAGATGCAAGGTCAACTTGGTGTGAGAAACAACCAATCAACAGACTGTATTTTCTACTAACATTCACCTACAATAATGTACATAAAAATCTATAAATACGTGTTGATTTTTCGTAATAAAGGATCTGTTGCCTGGCCCTTGTCTTCTGTTGTTACAATATAACTGGTAAAGAGGGAAGGCTGGGCATGGGGCTAGTAACCCTATCCTGTAAAAACAATCACCACCGCTACAGAAACTTCAAGCCTGTAGCTTGGAGCCCTATGTTCCACTGGGTAACGTAAAGGAATGAAAAAGAAGATGCCCGAAACACTTTTTTAGTGAAATTCTTCATTCACAGTAATAACAGGACTGCTAGAACTACAGATTCGATGAAACACTGAGTGAATTACAATCAGTTTTCTGTTGACAGAATTTGTTAGTAAGCTGTCCATTCTACATAGTCCTTATAACTCTTCCCATCCTTATTATCATTTGATGTTCACACACCTCAAAGTATTTTATATATCCGCTATCAGTAGCATTACACTTTCACAAAGGACTATTTTTTCCGCCTCAAACTGTGTAGTTCTTACAAAATGATGAATTTCATTCCATGTATTAGCCGCTAGCCCAACTAACTGATTCACACCTCTTAACTGAGTCGAACTCATCGCCAAATTGGAAAAGTGGTCATTCAGTGTTCAAATCACTTTGGTCTGGCTAAAGAACAATAGCATAGTTAAAGAATGCTAATCCAGGAGGAACGAAGATATCAATAACTGAGTAACGAATGGTTACTGTAGGAAGCAAATTCGGGCGGCTAACTCAGATCTAATCCTAGTCTGGCCCTAGCAAACCCTAATAAATCCCTAACCAGGTTATAACCTGACCCTTTCATGTCTCTAGGCTAACCATAGGCTTTCCCTAACCCAAACTAAAACTAAATAACCTGTTTAGTATCCCTACACAGCATCCAAGTCCTATTTTCATGAATATAGTGTTATTTGGTTCGATTAAGTCACTCTGCAGTTATGTTTCAAGGTCACTGGTGCGTTGGATCCCTTGGATTGCTGCTTATTATTATAACTGCAAGCACAACGTGCTTGGTTTTCAGCCATTAGTATATAGCGTTAGTCTATTTTTCTTAAATGTTCTCAATTCTTCCAATTTAATAGCCTTGTGTTGACAGGTTTCAATCGACAAATACATTCAGATAACTACTGTAGATGTTCTGATGAACTGCAGAGAGTTCTACATTGCGTCATTCCTTTGTATCCCGAGTGGAATATGGGGATTGGAACTTCCAGAATTACCGAAGAGATGATCTTGCTGCTACGGGGTAGGGCTTCTGACTATATCACAGAAGTTCACTGTTTCCGGGGCTTACGACCATCTAGACGAATGTGTCCACCGAGAATCAAACCAAAACCAGGTGCTTGGTCGGTTAGCACTCTACCAAGAAACCACCGATGCACAAAAGGGTTATCTGCTAGGACTTTGAACCAAGACGTATTTTGAAGAGTTACTGAACGCTAAATTTCTTAGTATTTATTCGCCTTCATAAGCCATGAATAATAGACAATTTATAAAATTATATTTGTAAAATCTCAGCGAAATTGAAATGATTAATTCCAACGTTTCGTTCGGCAATCTGGTTCGAACTTCTTCAGGGAAATTAATCGAATTAAAATAAACAGGTTTATATATAAAAGGAACAACTCTTGTTTTTAAACTTTGTCCAATCATGCGTCCTGCAACAGGTATCAACATGTATAATAAATAAATAAAATAGTATGTTTATGTATAAAAGCACATCTCTTGTTTTTAAATTGTTTGTCCTGTCATGTGAATCAATCCTGGACTGTTTAGTACAAAGAAAATTAGATGGAAAATTTAAAATAAACATTTTTAGAAAGCCGACAAATTCGGATAGATACCTAGATTACCATTCAGCTCATCCATTTACCACCAAAGTAACTGTGGCCAAGAATCTGATCAACAGAGCCAAACGTCTAGTTACTGAGGAGGAAGATATTAGCAAGGAATTAAAATTGGTTCAGTTCACTCTTGAATCAAATAATTATCCAAAATCCTTCATAAAAAGATATTTAAAATGTGAAGATACGGATGAATCAAAACCTGTTGCTAAGAATTGGGTTAGTACAACGGTGATTCCTTACCGCAAAGAAACTTCCGACGAAATAAAGCGAATCCTTAACGACCATAATATACGAGTGTATTTTCGTGCATCAAACACCTTACGCTCACTACTGGTTAAGGTTAAGGATAAAATAGAACAAGAAAACCAGCAAAATTGTGTATACCAGATCAATTGTGGGGATTGTAACACCGTATATGTAGGAGAAACTTCCAGACAGGTAAATGTTAGGGTGAAAGAACATAGACAATGTCTAAAGGTGGTTCCAAAGACCTCTGTAAACTTGAAGAAGCTAGAAAACAACTCAGCGATTGCACTGCACTCGATAGAAACGGGACACAAAATCGACTTTGATAAGACTAAGGTTTTACAGAAAGGTTTTGGTTCATATAAAGAAAGACTGACTGCAGAAGCCCTACATATATGGGTGAATCCCAACATTTTGAACAGACGTGAAGGTGTGATCTTAGCTGATGCATGGTAAATCCTGACTAATAAATAAATTGGATATGTTTCAACAACTAGTCACACTTGATCAAATTCCCGATTGTCTACGTCTTTTTATGGAGAGAATAACAAATCTATAAAATTATATTTGTAAAAAACATCTCACTTATATTGTAACTATCCGGTCAAATCTTGATCACAGCTCATATGAGAATAACAAATGTTTTGTGACTGTTCACCCACACACACACACAAACACATACACACACACCATTGATACTGCATAACACATATACACATATATTTTTAACAAAAGTAGACTAATTTTGAAAGTCTGAGGTCAAAATTTTGATCACAGTTCATATTAAAAATTTTGTTTTGTTTTGTTTTGTTTACTATACCTATTGATAGCTGTTTATTGATTCACATGACAGGACAAACAATTTAAAAACAAGAGATGTGCTTTTATACATAAACATACTATTTTATTTATTTATTATACATGTTGATACCTGTTGCAGGACGCATGATTGGACAAAGTTTAAAAACAAGAGTTGTTCCTTTTATATATAAACCTGTTTATTTTAATTCGATTAATTTCCCTGAAGAAGTTCGAACCAGATTGCCGAACGAAACGTTGGAATTAATCATTTCAATTTCGCTGAGATTTTACTTCTCACCCAGCGCTCAATTATTTTGCAACTATCCGGTCAAATCTTGATCACAGTTCATATGAATAGACAATTTAGCTAGGAAATAATCACAGCTAATAACCAACAAGAAAAATGCGGCAGCATTCCTGCTCCCTGGAAAAAGCATGAAGTGTTGATTGGCTTCACGAGTGTTGGATTACAGTCAGAGTGGATGAACGGTCCACAAGCTTTTCTTTAACACCTGAAATTCCTGGGTTCGATTTCTGGTAGGATTGTGGTTACCCACTGCTGAAGAGTCCTACATTGGAGCAAAACACTTGTCCACTGTGCTCCCAGGTTTACAAATGATGTCTAAATATATATATATATATGTATCATGATCATGCACTGTTTCACTGTTGTTGTTGTTTGTTTGTTTGTTTTTCCCGTTGTTTTATTAGATTTCCTCATGAAATTAATCTAGGCGATATGTCTGCTGAAATGGTATGGAAATGTCTGTCTGAAGATCTAGCCAATGGATTAGCTCAACATACACTTGCAGCTAAGTATTACTTTAATAGTACAGAAGAAGATACACTGGATAGTTTACCACAGATGGAGAAATTACGTCAAGCAAAATTGAAAGCAATACAACAAGAAATTGGACTAAGAAGTAGAATGCCTAAGATAAAGTCATCGGATTATATGAATCTTTGTTTCCGTGTTAAATGGTTTTACAACACGTATATAGCACCTTTGGCAAGGTTTAAAAATGTTGTCCCTGAATATCCACGGTAAGTGGCAACACTGTTTTTGTTTACAGTAAAAAAAGATGGTCAATAATACAAAAAATAAGGCATATATATAGTTCTAAAAAAACAATTTTTTAGGAGAGAGGGAGAAAAGATCATATTCACAGCTGGTTTGCAATCACAATTGTGTAGCTTTCTATAGTGAATATGTATTCAATGCATTTTCTTTGAAAATAATTTCAACTCATTTTCATCAGCAGAACATGGTAGCAAGCAAAATCAACTGCATACCATCTGGATGTGGACTTCGCCGATGATATATGTCTGATTTCTCTCAAACTGGAAGATATGCAAGCGAAAAGCAACAAGTTGGCAGAAGAAGCATCAAAGATAGGACTTCAGGTGAACATAGAGAAAACAGAGGTGATGAAGATTCCTGGCCAACACCACCAGCAGCAACAACAAGCAGCATAAATGGAAGGAACCTGAAAGAAACAACCTCTTTTATCTACCTGGGAAGCATCGTTTCAACTACAGTCGGAACTAACGAGGAAATCAAAGCGAGAATCGGAAAAGCAAGACAAGCTTTCACTACTCTCAAGTCTGTGTGGAGGTCAACACAAAGCACTCAGCATCAAAAATAAGATCCGGATTTTCAACTTCAATGTGAAGTCAGTCAGTGATACTATATGGATCAGAGACTTGACGCATCATAAAGAGCACCTCAAACAAAATATAGACCTTCATCAACAGCTGTCTTCGCTGAACACTACTGAAGATCAGATGGCCAGCAAAGATCAGCAACAGGGAGGGATCTCTTGGAGCGAACCAACCCAGCAGGAACCGATTGTGAAACAAATAGGTAGGAAGAAATGGAGATGGATTGGCCATACTCTGAGGAAACAAACCATCAAGTGACATCACTAGACAAGCCATTGCTCTAGTGGAACCTGAAAGGGAAGTGGCGAGTTGGTCGTCAGTACCAGGGTGACTTGGAGGAGGTCATGTGAAGAGGAGATGAAAACGTGTGGGCAGACTTGGAGCCAGGTGAAGACTCTAGCAGAGAACCGAACGCACTGGAGACGCACGGCTGAAGCCCTATATTCCTCTAGGAATTAAAAGAAACAATAATAATAATCTGCAGAACTGCAGGTGACTAAAAATAGTGAACATTAGCAATAGCACGTCCATTTAAAAATAAAAGGTCGTTTGTATTGTTTTATTCTTTTACGTTCCCCAGTGGAACATAGGGCTTCAAGCTAGAGGCTTAAAGTTTCTGTAGCAGTAGTAATTATTTTTACAGGATGGGTTGCCAGCCAGCCCTATGCCCAACCTTTCCTCTTTACCAGTCTTCTTTTTTCCTAGCTTAGCGAGGTAAAGGAGCGCGTCGGTGGCTGGGAATCGAACTCCAGACCACAAGAGGGGTCGGCGAGCACTCTACTGCTGTGCCACCGACGCACAACAAATCGTTATACGAAATTATAATTTCAAATTTTCTGTTATTTGATTCCATTGGAGGGAAATTTCCAGTCTCTCTTGTCATGTTGGCTGTTAGTACGAATGCTCTGACAACATTTTTAGATTAATATGATGGCGTGTGTTGATGTTATCTGGTAGACGAGTAGATTTCAACTGACGGTGGCTGAGCAGACGCCATCTTGATTAAAACTCCTTAGATGGATTTCTTCTGCATCTTCGGTGAGTGATTATTTCCCCAGAAAATCTCGAGACCAGAACTCATTACTTAAAACATTCAAGCATAATCCATTAGGCCACAAGAGATCCCTCTTTTGCAGTTAGTATCAGTAGTTATTTATTCTATCTAATTAGTATTGCTTGCTGACTGATTTCAAGACTTCTCTCAGCGAAAAAATCATCACTCACTGAGGATGCACCTGTGTTCAGATGATGAGTCCCGAACAGGATGAAGTGTACAACCCAGATTCGAATGCTAGCCACCATTAACTTGAAAAACGGTCTTTTTGTTACACATTTCTTTGATTTCGCAAATTCACTCATCACTGCTTAGTCAACTGAGCGTTGAGATCTTAAATAAATATTGGTCACATTGAGCAGCTAACCGAAGTATAAGACTGATTGGATGTAGTCCCTTTGGAGACAACTACTGAACTCCTCAAACGAACATCTCACTGTCACCCTCGGACACACGCCCAAATCGTCGCTACACACTCTGATCTCACTCAATTACCTTGAGGAGCATTGAGATGAAGTCTATCTGGTTTGTGGTGTGTTTGTCAGACGAAATCCCTGTCGCTTTGCATATATCCTCGTGCTTTTACATGCCACTTCTAATCACCGAACCATTGAATGTACGGAAGTTTGAGAAGATCTTTCCATTCTTATTGATTTCGCTGAGAGTCCTGCAGCCATTAATGTGTTCCTCCCTTGATTTTCCGCTTCCAGTTCGACATTCATGTCACCCACTAGGATTTTAATGTCACTACTGTATGCACCTTTCTGCAGAATTCTTTCTTCCCTGTTGTTGGGCTGTTTATAGCAGTGCAGCATTGGTTGATCGTAACTTTCTATCATTTTGAGCTGAATCTTGCTCTCATCCTGCAGAAGATTGGTTCCCGCTATATGACAGCCTTGACTGTTGTTGATAACATCATGACAACCACTCACTGCCTCAGTGTGCTTGTGGTTGTCGTCTGGGTAACCGGAGTAGATTATAGACTGTTCAGTTGACAATTTTTAGACTGATTTCTCATGTATAGGAACGCCAACACCACGCCCAACCTTCCCTCTTTACATAAGCTTAGGACCATCTAGAAAAATAGCAAACTAGTAAACTGGGCGAGGTTTTTGGAAAATCATGCTGATGATAGCTTTTAGTGACAAGTACGCTTGCTCTTCAGAACAGCTGCTTTCTTCTTGGTTTCAGCGATTCCTACGCAAATTTGAATCATCACTGCACTGTGTAACACACCAGAGGAAGTTGAACATCAGTCATCAACCTAGTGGAGAAATGATGAAATACTGACTTTGCAACTTTATGACTGTAGATTAAACCTACTACTGGGTCGTGCACATTCCTGGAATACAGTGAACCAATTCTTCATTCGATACTGATCAGTAACAGAACCTATCTTGGAGTTTTGAGAATGTTTAAACCTCTTTTCACAAATTGCATGATGGAACGTTTAAAAACAATACACACAGCATATTGCATACCTTTCCGAAATCTCTAAATATTCACTTTTACACTGAATTATACACGTTAGAATCTCTAAAGGAACATTGATTTCTGAGATACAAAGATGCGGTTTATTAATGATTTCTGGAAAGCACAAAGTGTAGATTAATTAGAAGTTCATGTTAATCGTCTATTATTGGTCAGACATCTAATAAATATAATGAGGAAATACATAAATTTATAATAATTAAGTGTTGGTTTGCAGAAATTTGATTGGTTACAGGATCTCTTCATGGACTGACATCGGTTACAGAACTCATGGAAAACCATCAGGGAGTACTAGACAGCTGTCTCGTCAGCCTAGTTTAGAATTCATCATCAGTATGTACTCACCTCACTGCCAAGGTTCACAACCGGGACATTCCGGTTACAATTTTAGAGAGCTCATAGGCCATTAAACCACTGGGAGTCGATCCAATGACCAGTTCATGAATTCCAACTTCTGCCAATTCGTGATATATATTTTAGCACAACCGCTAGCCAGTGTCATAGACGAAACGGCTGTACAGTACTCTCAGACTTTTCAAGAGTTCTATAACTGATGTCAGCTCGGTTTTTAGAAAAATTTTCCATAGACTTATAAAAATAACCAACACAAACTGTAGAATTTACACAGAGTCATTTCTTTTTGTATTTTAAATCATCTTGCCTTTCTTATTTATTTATTTTTTTTCATTTTTCACCTTCAGCTGGTTCGAGGGTCTTGTATTGATTTGGTTGTCTGAAAATGATGAAGTCTCTGCAAATTATCTCAGAAATGCCTATGATCGGGATAAACAAGACGGTTTCCAGTGTTCCAGTGAACATGTATTATACTCAAATTCCGTTGTCGATGTATTTACTCAGCTGAATCAATGCTTTGATGTGATTCGTAAACTGGAATGTCCAGACAAAGAAGTAGAAGGACACTTTTTGCATAGGTTCTCATTAGTAAGCATTGAATATTTTGATGTAAATATATATATATGCATGTTACTGTGTGTGCATGTGTATGTGTGATTCTGATGGAAACAGGAAATTTGGAAGAGGCATTCTAATCCGCAAAATGTTGAATCATTAACAAGTCATATATCCTCTACATCTCCCTCTCTGTAATGATTATAACAAGAAATTAATTATTGATATGAATTCATGGGCTGGCCACTGGATCGGGTCTCAGTAGTTTAACGGTCTACGAGCTAGCTCACCTTATACCAGGAGGTCTTGGATTAGAACCCTGGCAGTGGGGTGAGTGCGTGCTGATAAAGAGTCCCAAAATTAGGCTGACAAAACAGCTGTCCAGTACTCCCTGCAGGTTTTCAAATGATTCTGTAACTGGTGTCAACTCATGATGAAATCCTTCAACCAAACAAACACAATCCCTGCAAAACCCATACATTCAAATGGAATAATTAATATGGAACATCCTAGCGATATATGTAAATATAGTGGTATTAGATTACAGTTCATAACGTGTATATAATAGTGAATACTCTCCATTAATGTTCATAATGAATGGAAAAGTTACTTCACTATTCTCTCGATAAATCCTTTTCGTAGAGAGGTATCATATAAACCAATCACCCAGACATTATTCTCTCGTTCTCGACCACGGTTGTATTTTCTCTTTAATAAGACAGTTTCAGTTACATGTACTATGACACCTTCCTCTCCCAAAAAGGAAGTGTAATCATCTCCATTTACCAGGATATGACATCGCTATAATGCTAGTACCACTGAACTGTTGATACGAGACTATATTCAGTTTCAGAAGCTGCACCTCCCAGAGGCTGTTTTAAAGCCCAGTAATTACAAATATACGAAATTTGGGTTAAGGACAGATGGGACTTGACAAAAAATATTCCTATGAAATATATTAGAATTATCAGCTTACCTTCCCTGTCAGTAACTCGTCTCAAACAAATTGCACAGTGATGCACGTGTCCATTGACTAACCTCCTGAAGCTTTTTATAGTCATCCCATCTTCACATGAATAAATCCTTCCATTCCTAATCAGCCCCACATCTAAGCAATACTGAAAGACTTGGTCCTCACCAAATTTCAAACGTAACAGCGTTACAGCGAGCATTTGACTCGAATTAAGCAGAATAGAAGCTTCAACTCACATGAACAAAACTGAATGACCCATTCAGTGTCATTTGTACGAACGCACTCCATCAGAAGTTAGTGATCCTTAAAGTTTAACTTGGCCATGTAAGTGAATAACTAAAGATAAATTAAAAGAATAAAATGAGGGGACGCTTCCCCTGAATTCTACTGCTATTCACCGCCAAGCAAAATAACTTCAAGTTCATAATAGTGGTAATATTTAGGCATCTGTTCTAGGAACCCATACACCAACCTCATTGAAGCTCATTATCAGTGTGCTAAGACATACCAACAGGATATTACGAAGATTTAGAGAGCAAAAAGGAATGAACGAAGAAATATTTACTTTTCAATAACATCCACATCTCCTTCTCGCTCTACTCTAATACACATATCTATAACATTTTGAATGCAATACACCACAGTTCACCAATCAAAGGGCACTGATATGTTTGTTAACAGTAATTAGTCAGTATCAACATGTCAAGGTGACCACACGCGATACTTAACGAATAAATTTAATACAAACAAATGCAGGGCAGAAATAGTTATAGCAAGTGGATTGCATAATGTATTATTTTGGAAAAATAAAGAGTCATTCAGGAATAATTGAGTGTTCAAGTTGATTTGGACAATTATTATTATTGTTCCCTTGGGTTCCGCGTAGAACATAGGGCTTCAACAACACATCTACACTTTGTTCTATTCTCTGCTGTCCTCTTCGCCTGGTTCCACGATTGCCCAAACTCTCTCATCTCTTCCTCACACGGTCTCCTCCATGTCACCCTAGCACTGACAACCCACTCATCGCTTCCCATTTACATTCCATTCGAGCGATCGCCTGGCACACGTTATCATTTGATGGTCTCCCAGGTGTACGCCCGATTGATCTCCATTTTCTCCAACGTATTTGTTGAGTAATCGTCTCTCGCCTGTTGGTTTGTTCCCAGCCTGAGTTTCTTGTCGCTAATTCTTTCTGACCGGCCAGCCATTTGATCTTCAGTATGGGTCCAGTGTAGTGAGCAGATGTTGATAGAAGTCTGCAGTGGCCAGTTGGAAAAGCTTTTCATGACGCGCTGGCCAATTTCTGACGCGTATGGAAGGACCGATTTGAAATTTGTGTTGAAAATCCGAATCTTGTTCCTTATACTGAGTGTAGAAGATTTCCAAACTGGTTTCAGGTTGATGAAGGAGTATCTTGGACAATGGTAACTTGTAAATAAAGATGAAGTAGTCAGAAAAAGTAATAAAATAATTTGAACAACTATAATTCTTTTTAATGTTTAGGAGGAGGGCTAAGTAGTTAGGTTTATACATTCATGTAACGATGGCCAAGATAGGGAAAGTGGTTGTATGAATAGCACATAGTGGCTGCATCTGTTTCTTAAGCGACAACCTGATTAAGTTGTCGAAAGGCATATCAGATCTCTTTCTAATCAGTGCTTTGAAATTGTATATATCTCACATCGTATAATTTCTACAATAGACACGGTCGTATTTTTGCAACAGTTCTGCCTTTTTTCTGTTTTGTTTTCACCACTGGATAAAAAGGACACGTTTCTTCGTGCTTGTGCGTGTATGTGTGTTACTGACTACTTCTCGTTATCATCAAACAAAATCGGATAAATAATAATTCACGTTAGATTATATATAACGTTTTAATCAGATCCTTTGGTCTGGTGGTAGGGATTTGCGCGAGGGGGTGGGGCGAGCGGGGATTGAGTGGTGGCTTGCACAGGCTGTAAGATAAATAAGAACAAAACTGTTCATATGTCAAAACTCTTTCAATGCTGTTGGTGTTGTTGTTGTTGCGTTTTTTTTGTTTTGCTTTATCGTCATCGTTGTGTTACTCTCTTCGTGAGAAGTAACATAAGATAACTAGAACTAACTCCTCTGACAACAACAAAAAAACGAATGAAAGTAAGAATTGAACAAGAGTGTTGATGTTACAAAATAAAATAAAATAAATTTCCTCTTCAAACCAACTATAATTTTATAAGGAAAAGATAGAGAGGGAGAGTGGGAGGGAGCATCAGAAGAAAATATCTAGTAGTTCAATAAATAGATACTGACATTGCATTGACAATGACAGGAAGAAAACTAAGCGCAGTATGGGAAATAAAATGTTGCAAAAGGAAACAAAGAAGCTGTTCATGGAAACTAAACGTTTTGGTCTTGATAGAAATTTAAAAAATATACCAGTTACACTGACTGGTCAATACAGAGTTAACCGAGCTATGCACTGTCCAGCCTTTTTGGTTTTTCGCTGAATTTTACCAATCTAGTTTGTAATGAGGTCACCAGGCTAAGAGATTCAACTGGTAGTATCCAATCTGAACTAAGGAGTAGACAGGAAACTAGAAGTTAGTCGCCAGCCACAGCTGAATGGTCCGTTATGGAACCTCTGAGGGTACAGTTTTCTCCCAGTTTTCATGACACACCTTGCTGACAAGTGCCAACAGGTAGGTAGGTAGGTACGTAGATTGGAAATCTAGATCCAAAGCTTCCAGCAGATTGTTTCCCCACCGTCAAATGCATTTATTTGTTTATCTTAATTAACAGTTTATTGAATCAGTGTATAGTCTGATGTTTGTCTAAGCTCGGTAACGAGAAGACTACGTGAAGACTTATCTCTGATGAGTGAAGATAATAAATGAATATATAACGTAAGTATAGTAGTCTGTCCGTCTGTTTTCAACGTAGAACTTTGCACTGATGTGCAGCAGTTCAAGTCGCCATACTCCATGTAGCACACAAAGCAGGAGAAGAAAGTAGAAGAAATGCAAAATAGAGACAGTAAACAGAGGTGTGAGACAAAGGAATAGTAATAACGAAGAACATTATAGTTTCATTGAAAATTATAAGTCACAAGGAGTGGATGCATCTGCGCTAGCCATTGAGAACTATTTTGAGCTATATCACCAATTGTCTCCAGCCATTGGTTTTTACTGTCCCGAGGACCCCAACCAGTCAGGAAGTCTACACCTTCCTACGTGGCTTAAACTAATTGTTGTGGATTACATTGACTGATGAAGCCATGTTTTGGTTTGACCACCGCTAGCTCTTTTACAGCCTGGCCCTATATCAGCTAGGATTGCCCATTGTCGAGGAAGGCGATGACTAGGCATTTGTAAAACATGTTCTGACCATCTCAGTCGAATTAATTTCACAGCCTCGTCGATTGATTTCCCCTCCTTACCTAAAACTCGACGCCTAACATCAATATTGCTCACCTTATTATACCACCACATCACATGGGATATAAAACGCAGGCACCTATGATCGAAGACAGCTAATCTTCTCATGTCTTCCACTCTCAATGACCAGGTCTCAGAGCCATAAAGGAGGACGAAGTGGACTGCTGAGCAGTACACACGCCCTTTGGTTGATAGTCGGATATCACGTCTACGCCAGAGACGGCGTATTCTGGCATATGCGAAACTAGCCCTCTGTATCCTTGCTGAGATTTCGTCGGAAATCAATCCGTAGGGGCTGATGCAGCTTCCCAAATAAGTGAAGTGGTCGACGTGCTCTACCACTACACTCCGTATTTCTAAACTAGGAGTCAGTGCAGTTCAGCGCAGTCCTGTAACATCATCTTACATTTAGAGGGAGCAAATCGCATGCCAAACATTTGCAGATTGCAGCTCCTCAAGGTGTTCAGAAGGCGTTTTAGTAAAGCATCATACTTGTGTTTACTCCATTTTTTCCTCTCTATTGAACACTGACACTTTTGTTTTGCTTGGTTTTGTTTTGTATTTAACTCAGTGATATATTATTGTAAAAAGTAGGGGAAGAGATCGAATACAGAATTTTAAATAATTTGCTAAACTAATTTTGAAATTCCCAAAATTCACTTGTTAGATCTCTACGAAAAAAATAAATGGAAGCTCCCGAAAAGGATTATATTTTGTTCGTTTCATTCTCTTGGTCATTTCTGTTTTCATTCTCACATGTTCAAAGTTAGGACAGTCAGGATTTAGCGGCTCCATTTTGTGTGTTCAAAATATGATTATGCACGCTATGCACAGTCACAAGTGAGGCTGAGGGAGCTTTTGACTAACAGCTCACATTGATATATATCCATGGAACACCTTGACAGGCACTCTTCCAACTCGTGATTTCATGTGCCTTGTGATGTATCTTGACCACATGAAGTGTTACACACAGTGCAGTAACATTCCTCATTGTGTATAAAGGTAGCTAATTATAGTGGTTTAACTTCCCTAGCAGATTAATTAGTTAGGCGTTAATGCTTATTGGTATACGACTGTCCTGATTTCCTCAGTGAACGGCTCTTCGAAAGTGAAGTATACATAAGAGTCGAAAAAAGGTGCTTTTTTTCTCCGTTGCCTTCTGAGTGAGAAGTGGAGCTTCAGAATTCTAGAGTTCCAGTAGCAGTGTTGTTTTCGTCGGGTGGGATTGCCCTGCATCACACCTAGCCTCCCGCTTTTCCAGTGGGGTGTGTTGTTTAGGAATTCATCGGCAGAGAATCGAACCCTACCTCCAGTGTCAATGGTAAGCATTTTTTCATCAAAACAGGCATCATTACACTCACTCAGTCAGATTACTTCAGATGGTAGGCAGGAAAATTAAATGAAGAGGAGTTCAACTAGCTTGAGGTAGTCATAATCATAATATAGTAGTTCAGTTAGTCTCACAAACGTTTTCACTTATACACTGTTTCATATAAGAGAAAATGCATTTCTCCAGAAATAACTCTACCATAAAACTGTTAATGCTTGTTAGAAGTTGTTGTTTTCAGGTATCGGTATTGTAGGGAATTTTTTTTGATTGGTTGGAGGATTTCATCATGAGCTGACATCATTTAGAGAATCATTGGAAGACCTGCAGGGAGTACAGGACAGGTTGAAGGTGAGGACAGGTACTCATCGAAGAAGACATTGAGAAGTGGTCACGCTATGTTGTGCATGAATTGGCAGGAGTTAGAATTCATGAGCTGGCCATCGGATCACGGTTCGAGTGGCTAATGAGTGGCCTATGAGTTAGCTCACGTTGTAACCGGAAGGTCGTGGGTGGGACCCTGTCGGTGGCTGCGTACTGATGAAGAGTCCCAAACTAGAAGTTGTTTTTGTTGTTGAGTTTCTTTTTCACTTTTTGAGAAGGTTTTATTCTAAGCCGTATAAGTGATAAACTCTAAAGAATATGTTATGATAAATAAACGCACCATTTATGATACCATCTAGATAAAATGATGAATTTTAAAGTGTTCTACTGTGCATATCAAAGGTATTAACATCTTAGATGCTCTTAATGTTCATTTCGCTACCCTACTATAACTTCCCTTTTTTTAAAAAGACATTTAAATGCTACTGAATAATTAACTGGAAGCGGTCAAAGAAGATTAGATATCACTGTGATTTCTATGTTCAAAAAGCAATATAGAAGTTTCTCTTTTTCAAAATAATAATAATTTGCTTTATTCCAAAAACAGTACTAATGATACAGTAAGGAATTTTCAGCATTCAGTACAATATTGCATCTAATTTACTCAAAAAATGACAAAAAATACAAATTAAAATTAAAAATTAAAAAATTAAATAATCATTACATAATAATGATAACAGAACGTTGTTATAGCAGCTATTTAGCAAATTACGGTATGCAATACGGAGAAAAATATGCATAAAGTATAAAATTATAGTAATAACAGTAATAACAACTAAAATAAAATCGCTAAGTTACAATTAAACGATAGAAAGGGTGACACCATAAAATTACAGAAAGATGAACAATGAAAGGGTCGATTCACTTTGCTAATTACATAGTAACTTATATGTTTCACGTCTAGTAGAGTCTTCATCGCATTAAATACGGGCTAAATACGGTATTGTAGAATTTTTGTACTTAGTGGTGCGAGCATATAACTTTTTTATATTGACTTCTCGTCCTACCTGATGAGATACAAGGGGATAGTTGTGAATAAAGGGGGTGCAGGGGGTCTGACAGTACGACTTTTGCCCATTTTGTACAGGATTTTATATGTCTCTCGACTATAATATTGGCGAGCTCACGCAGTGGCATACCACAAGCCCTACTCACAGCATTTAATACCCTTCGTAATATGATATAGTCTTTTTTGAAAAGCCCAGGAAAGATTAATGGAGAGCAATAGAGTACAATAGGTAAAATACAGGAGTTTACAAACTGCAGAAGTAAAGGTTGGCTGATACCTGACTGTCTTAACTTTTTAATGTAGAAGGTGAGACGAAACATTTTCTTAGAGATTCCTAAGATGTGGGATGACCATGATAGGTCAGAGGAAAGAACTAATCCAAGGTATTTAATGCTTGACTTGGTTTCAATTTCAGGCAATTGTCAACAGATAACATTCTATATCTGCTTTAAGATGAATAATAGTTCTGAAAAGTTATAGATATTTATGTTGACAATGGTTATTGATAAAATTAAAGAGACATACATATTATCTTATCTAGATGTGTCCATCTGTGCATACTTGAATTCTGGTTAATTTTAATCTTTGAAATGACATCGTAGTCAAGTGATCGAACAGTATCAGGGTACATGAGAATGAACTAGCCATTTTTCACTGCATCATTGAAAGATTGCACATTACGCTTAAAACAACTCGCTCAAAACAGACTTCAATCAGCAGAAATCTGTCACACAGAATAACACCTTATCGTGTTAGTTAGTCTTAGTCAACACACTGCGAAGACAAAAATTAACTAAAATTAAAATTCAGTAGTCTGGCTGCACAAAGAGTCAGGGAGAGAGATTTTCAAGTTGGATTTCATCACGCACCGGCAGCAGTTCTAGGTAATCATTGGAGACCCCTGTGGAGTATTAGACAACTGTTTCGTACCGGGCTGAGACTCTTCAGAAGTACACACTCATGACACAAAAGCTGGAGATCGAATTCAGGACCTTCAGGTTATAAGGTGCAATTCAGTTGGAATGGAACAGCGCATAAACTCTAACTTCTGATGTTGGTTCACAAGGAAATCTAGAAAAAGATTTCATTATTTTAGAAGTAAACATTGTAACTTTATTGACAGAATTAGTAAACTTTCCTAGAGGAAAACGTACATCCTAACCTTGAACACAGTCTGAGTATTAAGACTTTTTTACGAGTTGATCACGGATTTATATCAGTTAGAGAACCGTTGAAAACTAGCAGGGAGTACTGGACAGCCAGCTGTTTCACCCTAGTTTGGGAATCATCGGCAGTACGCACCCACTGCCAGGGTTCGAACCCAGTGGCTGAATGGTATACGAGCTTGCCTTGTAACCGGGAGGTCATTGGTTCGAACCCTGGCAGTAGGTGCGTACTGGTTATGTTTTCCAAACCAGGATGAAACAGCTGCTAGTACTCCCTGCTATTTTTCAATGGTTCTCTAACTGATATCAATCCGTGATCAACTCGTAAAAACAAAACTAATCCTTATAAACCAACTATATAATATTAAGACTTTCTTTCTAATCTTAAACAATCCACTTCATTATTTTCACACTGTTTAACTATGTGGCCATATTTGAGCCTAGTTGATGAACATTCGTTAACTCTCGCATTCTGCCTATTATTCTCTATTGTTCCCCCTTAGTCTTTCCCGGGCTACTGAAGAAAGACTATAACATATTACGCAGGATGTTAAAGGTTATCAGCAGAGTAAGCAACGTGCCACTTAACCAGCTTGTTAATATTCTGGTTGACAGGCACATGGACTCATGTGAAAAATGGGCCAAATCCATTCTATCTAACTCACACCACCCTCTTCACTCACAACTCTCCCCTTGCATCTCATCAGGCAAAAACAGAAGCCTATATAGAAAACTATATGCTCGCACCAGCAAGTACAAAAACTCAACCATACCCTACTTAGCTCGTGTTCTGTGTGATTAAGAAAGCATTAGGCGTGACACCTATAATTCATTAAATAGTCAGTAGTACAACTGGATCTCGTCTTTCCAACCCACATCATCAATAGGTACAATATTTTCTTTCTTTCTTTTCCTTTTCTCTCTCTTCTTTTTCCGTTATGTGCTGCTTTGTCTCTTTCTCTCGCATACGCCAGTTAATAAGACAGCTCCCACTTTTCTAACACCTTCAAACACTGTTTCAACTTTACCTTTACTGCTGACATGCCAATGTATTGTTGTAATAATGAACTGTGGTTTCCTCAATCTATGTAGAATTCTATTTATTGATAATGTACAAACTGGATGCAATACTGTAGTAAAAATGCTGAGAATTCCATTCTGTATCACAAGTACTGTTTTGGAATAAAGCAAATTATTATTATTATTAAACATTATTTAATAAATGAAAACTGATAATTGGGTTCACTTTCTGTTTATTCCTTCTTTTGAAAAAACTCTTTTACAGACCGTGGAAAAAGTCCTGTTAGCTTATGCAGATCGTGTATTAGCCGATTTTCCAATGTATAAATCAGATCAACGTGTTGCATGTATCCTAGTGAATAATACTCAACAACTTCGAGTACAACTGGAAAAAGTTTATGAGAATATGGCACGTGAAAGGTTGGTTGGCCTTTTGGTTAAATTTATTTTTATTAAAATTTTAAATAAAGTAAAACTGAAATAATGTTTAAATGTATTGCAGGAAAATCAGAAACAAATCGAAACAGTTTGAGCAGGATAAGATGATATCCTTATTCTATTTCGTCAATTCTTCGTCAGCTTGATACAACCTAGAAAAAATTTATTTATAACATTTTTTTCCTTTACGTTCCCAGTGGAATATAGGGCTTCAAGCTAGAGGCTTGATGTTTCTGTAGCAGTAGTGATTATTTTTATACGATGGGGTTGCTAGCCTTATGCTCAACCTTTCCTCTTTACCAGTCTCCTTTTTTTACTGGCATAGCGAGGTAAAGGAGTGCGTCGGTGGCCGGGAATCGAACTCCATACCACATGAGAGGTCGGTGAGCACTCTACCTCTGTTCCACCGACACACATATTTACGATTATATGCACAGAACAATTTTTAAACACACTTCCAAGAGTAACATGATATTGTCAGTTAACAGGAGACTTCAGAAATAATAAAACTTCTACATCGAAGGTTCAAAAATTATTCCAAAACTTTGAAAAAGGACGTGAGTCAGCAAGACAAGAGATGGGAAATTTGGTTCCTGTTTATGCTCTTTGCTACAACCATAAATTGACAGATACCCTTCACGTGCTAACTCTAACTAGGTAAACAAATTTACATGTATATACGGTAGCAGTTACATTTGGAGAACAGAAAGTTGGGCACATCTTCGATTCTCTGAATACACATCAAAAAGTCTAAGTACGTCAAAAATCTCTGTACCTGTTATCATATTATTTGCTCCTTGAGTTCTGAGTGAAACGTAATGTTTCAGCAGGACATACCCATTTCAATACATTCCCTACTGTCGTTTCCATTTGGCTCCATGAATGCCTACGCCACTTGACCGGTCGACGTTTATCTTCATTCACTCTTATTTTAAGTGATATAGACGCTTTGACCCGCATATTTAGTTGGATATTCAGCATAAGAAATCTTTCTAAATACATTACTATTTTCATCCATCACCTTTACTGGATTGATTTCTTTTATTTCTAATTAGATTCGTTAGTTTAAACGTGGTACTAATGTTAAATTTCTCATGTTTTTTCAAAATGCCTCTGATGCACCATTTTTGTCTGGTATTTCGGCTGTTCTTCTTCAATCCTCTTTCTTTCCATTCTCTGAGAAATTCTTCTGGGTAGTTGTTATCAAGTAACATTTTGAATAGGACATTTATTTTTTTACATTGGTCATCTGGTGTTGTTGTAAGTCTACATATTCTGTCAGCAAAGCCTTGTACTAATCCTCGTCTCACTCTGAGTGGATTAGCCGAGTGACAATCAAGGAATCTCCCAGCATATGTAGTTTTTTTTGATTACAGCTTGATTCCACACCGTATTTTTTGGTACAAGTATGGACTTTTCAGCATGTGATATCGGTAGCCCAAATTTCGCAGGCCGACCATAGATATCAGTTGTGCGTCGGCAGAGGATCGAACTCCGGACCATGTGTGTGATCGGCGAGAGTCCTAACCGCTGTGCTACCGACGCACAGAAAAAAAAATTCAAAAAAATATCATTCTTTTTTTATTATTACCTCCCTGTTATCTGTATGTCTCCACAACGGGAAACTTACGGAATACTTCGAAGTGAGGACAGGAGTAAGACAAGGCTGCCTACTATCGCCAATGATTTTCCTGATTGCAGTAGACTGGATAATGCGACAAACAGGGGGCAATGAGGAAACAGGCATAAAATGGACTCACACAAAAACTTGGAGGATCTGCATCTGGATTTCACACATACTGGAGGATATGCAAGCGAAAAGCAACAAGTTGGCAGAAGAAGCATCCAGAGAAGATAGGACTTCAAGTGAACATAGAGAAAACAGGGGTGATGAAGATTCCTGGGCAACACCACCAACAGTAACAACAACAACAACAGACAACAATCAGCATAAATGGGAGGAACCTGAAAGAAACAACCTCTTTCATTTACCTTGGAAGCATCGTTTCAACTACAGGCGGACGGAACTGACGAGGATATCAAAGCAAGAATCGGAAAAGCAAGACAAGCTTTCATCACTCTCAAGTCTGTGTGGAGGTCAACAGCGCTCAGCATCAAAAATAAGATCCAGATTTTCAACTCCAATGTGAAGTCAGTCAGTGCTACTCGCTATACGGATCAGAGACTTGGCGCGTCATAAAGAGCATCTCAAACAAACTACAGACATTCATTAACAGTTGTCTTCGCTGAACACTACTCAAGATCAGATGGCCGGCCAGAAAAGATCAGCAACAGGGAGGGATCTCTGGGAGCGAACCAACCAACCAGGAACCGATTGTGAAACAAATAGACAGGAAGAAATAGAGATGAATTGGCCATACTCTGAAGAAACCATCAAGTGATATCACTAGACAAGCCATCGCTCAAGTGGAACCTAACGAAAGGGAAGAGGCGAGTTGGTCGTCAGTGCAAGGGTGACTTGGAGGAGGTCATGTGAAGAGGAGATGAAAACGTGTGGGCAAACTTGGAGCCAGGTGAAGACTCTAGCAGAGAACCGAACGCAATATAGACGCAGGGCTGAAGCCTTATGTTCCTCTAGGAATTAAAGGAAACAATAATAATAATAGGTGTTTCTCTGAATCCATTCTCTATTTTTATATATGGTGAATTTTATTGAGTCTACATGACTGTCTGCGTGTGTTGAAGAATTTCACTGCATCATTCTTTTTTTTATTATTACCACCCTGTTATCTGTATGTCTCTACTATTATTTTTATTGATGATATAAATGATTAAGGTACATTTTCTTTTGCGAAACTCCATGAATACATCACTCACCACTTATACAAATGCATATTTTCAAAAGAATGCTTACTGAACAAATGGTTCTACAGTTATATACATACATAATAGTGAATGAATAGATGTCATTAACAACATTAATGCTGTGATAGTGATTCGGATATGAACACAATAATAACTCAATTCAATGAAGTACATTCTCCCATGAAATTCACGTGTGAAGAGGAATCCTAAATTAGAATTACCTTCCTAGACGTCCTCCTTACAAGAAAACCAAATGGTACTATAAAGAGAAATTTGTATAGGAAAAGCACATGGACAGGACAATATACACATTTCCATAGCTTCGGTCCTCTCCAGTACAAGAGAAATTTAGTAAGGAACTTCAGCCACAGGGTTACAGCTATATGCTAGGTAGAGATAATTGAAGATGAACTTAGGATTGTACATGACACCTTAAGAAACACATGACAAAGAAAACAGAAAAGGATTATTCACTATCCGTAAACAAGAAGCGGTTATACACATATGACTGCAATGCAAGGGCGATATACCTATCGAAATAATTACAAAGAAATTAAGAAAATTAGTTCAAAGGACTTTTAATGCTGGCAAACTGTAAGTTTTATTCTCTACACGACCGATAGTGCTACCTCGACTGAAAGATGGAGTACCTAGACTAGCTAGTCACTTCTAATTGAATCTACCAATTCAACTGTGCTTGTGGAGCGGGTCATATTGGCAGTCGCTCTAGGAACTTGATTTTTCGTGCTCGCTCGGGAACATCTCCCAGTATGGCTGAGTAAAGGTGTAGTAAAACACCTGGTCCAAACCTGCCACAAAGCCAACATTGAAGAATCCTTCTCTATCACCAAATAAATTGCCGAAAGCATCCAGGTACCGCATGCTCCAAACAGCAGAGGCTATCGCAATTCATGTGAAACAACCAGTGCTTTGTGTGCATAGAAAGCAATTCCAGCCACTACTTTTACCCTAGATGGCCTTCAGCAGAGAATATATATATTCATGAATTCATTAATTATTGCTCTTTTGTTTGTTTGACAATTGTTGTCTATTTTAATCTGAGTAACTTTACAAAGAATTTTTCTTCACTTTCATCAACAGGTAATTTTAAACTTCTATTTTCTTTTCATAATTAACAAAACTTTACAAAAAATCAACCAATTTTAATTTCTTGTTTTGTTTTGTTCTGCCTAATGCATCATTTCAGTCTTGAATCGAATACTCGAGATCGTCTGAGTGCCCTTCAAGGTCGACTGAATGAAGTTGTTGATAAATTGGCAGTTCAGTTGACAGATCAATTTGAAGCTGGTGTACATTCACATGCACGAGAATGTGGTAGGCTATTACAAAAGGTAAGTGATATCTCTTCAATATATTATTGATTATTCAGTGTTTCAACGTTAACATAAATATGTTTTAATAAATATGATCAATGGTTAGGCATTATACATTGAGTCGATTGTTATCTTTAACACTATCATTGATATCTGATTTTTTATTTACAAGTTTAAGCTCTTCTGAGACTGGAATTCTGCACTTGTGTATGCGTGTATCTATGAGTTTGAATGCTTTTTTAATGATTCAGTTAATTAATAACACATTGAGACCGGTTTAACAGTCTCTTCACTCGTGAAAGTCAACTAGCGTTTATAAAAAACCAACGCATTCTGCTATTAGATATTTAGACTTTAATTCATCATCTCATCCGTTGTCTATCTGTGAAGGTAGGCTTAGTTAAGTGTCTAACAAACTAAGCAGTAGCACTAAGTAGTATAAGAAAAGACCTAAATGGTGAAATGAAACAGAAAGGAGAAGCGTTGGTATCAAACAACCATCCCATAAAATTCATTAGGAGGATCAAAAAAGGCCAAAAACAAAATAAAATTAATTATGAAACTAGTAATGATAATATAAATAAAGAGAATATAAGACATCTACTGCTATGCCATTTAACGATGGGATATCTGAGACTCTATGAAGGATTCCTAATAATGCAGGCATTAGAGTGGCATTTAAACTTACAAACTCACTCAATTAGGATGAGCTCTGTAGGCTGAAGGACCCTGTAGGTAGACCCAAGTGGACAAAATAATATAATTTACAAAATATTTTGCAATGACAGTGTGTAAGGTCAACTACATAGGTCAAACTAGTAGGTTGAGGTTAGTCAGATTATCGGAAAATAAGAATTTAGCTAAGGTTAGAATGGTTTACCCTGAGAAGATGAGTAATTTAGGAAACATAATCCTTCCAAAGATCAAACCCAAGATTCGGATACGTTACGTAGGTGACATATTTGTAATAATCAAAAAAAGAGTTAGATAAAACTCACAACTTGGTAAACAACGTCTTCAACGACATCAAATTCACAAGAGAAGAGGAATCCGAGAACAAAATCCCATTTTTATACTTCTTAATCAAGCGAACAACCACAGGGGGATTAGAAACTCAAGTTTATGGAAAATCAACTCACACAGACCGAGTGCTGAATTACAATAGCAACAATCCAATAACACACGAAGGGAATTGTATACAAACACTACTCAAGAGGGCCAGGACTCATTGCAGCACTCCCACCTTAAGGAAAATTGAAGAAAGATATCTCATGGACGTCCTCCAAAAGAATGGATATCCAAGGAATTTCATCAAAAAACATATACCCCCAAGCCAACCTATCCAATCAAAGGCCCCCAAGGAAAGTACAAAAAAATCGCCCTACAATATATAAAGGGTATCTCAGATATCATTGCAAGACTCTCCAAACCTTTAGGAATTGAAGTCGCACATAAAACAACAAAATCACTTCACTAAACTCTTTGTTAACCAAAAACCTCGGTAACGAAAGAAGTTAAAACCAACATCATCTACAAAATAAATTGTAACAAATGCGAAAAATACAACATTGGCCAAGGTGGACGTCCCCTTCATCTTCGTATCCACGAACATAAGCTAGCCATCAAAGGACATGATATCCACTATCTCATATCGTTTCATACAGCCAACCACGGTCATCAATTCGACTGGGACAACGTTCAAATATTAGACAGAGGAAACACCAAGAATGCTAGAGAATTTTTAGAAGCTTGGGATTCTAGTGAATAATCAATCAATCGACACATTGAGATAGACAAAATTTACCAATCGACAAGAAGGAAATTTCACACACAAAGGGTCAAACTTCAGGTCAAGATAACAATCAGTCCCAATTCGAGTAGCCTAGAGGGTATGAAAACACACGAAAACAACGAATGACGTCCAAAGTCACCAGAAGAGATGGCTAATAAACTCGTGGAGAAATCTAATAGCTCATTTCAAATTGAAGTATTCGCTGAAGATGTTGACTAGTAGGGTGATGAAAGCTTCGCAAATTAACTATCCAGCTCAGAGAACAGAACCACATCAAAGTAACTATTCTTACACCCAAGTGGGAGGATACCATATACTAAAACCACTCATTAGGAATTGCAAAAGTCCCTCCAATCCGAAGTTACTTCCTGGCTTCCAGTGTCTCACTAAATAATATTTGTTCATGAAACTTTTTAAATTTAAAAAATTTAACACCTGAATATCATTAATATTACAAGGAAGATTCATTAGAACACTTTCCTAAAGTTCTCTATATAACTGACAGAAGGCTAGTACTGGAACCTACAAAAATAAGAAACATCTAATCGTGAGACAGTATTTAAATTGTAGATATTAATAGTGCCAGATACTCATAGAAGAGTCCACCTACACTAATCCGCTAAACTGAACACACTTGCAAAATAAAAGGAGACAATAGGCTTAAAGTCCTCAAAGTTAGCATAACACAGTGACAAAAGTAATATTTACTGATAAACATTACTGTATAACACTGTGAAACTTTATCAAAACAAAGTTTACCCATAGTGGAATTACACTCTACCACAGTGCCCAAGTTTTATTCTTATATCAATGATACATATGGTCTTCCTACCAGGAAGGTTATCAACAAACTCACACGACTTTGTCAAACTGAAGCAAGATTCACACAGTTATTATTTATTTTCATCAATCAAGAATATTCTGAATGAAGAATATTCTTTCCAATGATCTCCCCTCTTCATGTTCTTGCAATTATAAAATATAATATTTGTTGTCGTTACAATAATGATCGCCAGTTATGCGGCAAATACATTTTCTAACGTAGAATAACAGATTAGTTAACGCAGGGCGACAATATAAATAGTATTTGTGCGATAGACGTGCTAGTCTGAATTCAGTTAGAAAATATTGTGAAATGGGAGACAGTGGTGGTGATTAGTCATAATAGATTTGTAGAGTCTGAGGTAAGAAAATTGACAAGTCAGCTCAAGGTTATAAAAGGTGTCAGGTGAGTGGCTAGTACAAAGTGGTATGTATTAAAAGGAGGAGATAGTAAGACTGCAATGAGAGGTTCATGATGAAATAACGAATGCGTGAAATGAAACAGGTGGAGGCATATATTGAGAAAAGAGATAATATCACTAATAATAAGTCCGGATAGTATAAATGGAAAATTCGATAGCATTGACAGAATGTTTGCATGAAGGGTATAAATTATGACCAATAATAATAATGATAATCGGAATAATAAGCAAAGCAGAAGAAAAATCCCAAGGGGGATAAGGGGAAGAGGCACTCTTGGTGAAAAGAAGAAACTCTAATGCAAGTTTGTCCACAGTAGAAACAGCACCTGAACGTGTTCTTTTTGGATACAAAATTCCGGTTTAGTCAATTTTGTTGCAGGAGATCTAAACGAACTATATGTGATAACGACTTCGGAATTCTGTATATAACCCTGAAGGGTGTGTTGGCGTCGATGCGATGTCAATTATTGACCAAGTGTGACAGATTTAATATCAGTAAAAAGTTTGAGCATTGTGGATTAGATCAAATAAAGTATAATTATATTTCAATAGTTTACACACAATGATAAGTTTTGTTATTGGTAATTTTGCTCGAAATATTGCCAATAACAAAACTTATCATTGTGTGTAAACTATTGAAATATGATTATACTTTAAGTGTGACAGAAGTGAGTTTTTTATGCATTTAATTTCCCCCTTGCTCAACCAAGTTGCTAAATGTTCTCAAACCTGTAGGTGAACCTGCCTAGTCGTACGTTCTATATAACTTGAGCAGGAGGAACAGTTGAGGTGTATCCGCCGCATAACTGGCCATTATTGTAACGATAACGAATAATATATTTTATAATTGTGAGGAAATGAAAAGGGGAAATTACTGGAAAAAATATTTGTTCGTCCAGATTAACTTTTAATTCATGATATTGGGATATATCACACCATTAAACCAATAATATTCTATTCGCAAATATGTTAGAATACCACATCACTATCAGGTTTTCCATTAAATATCACAAAATGAAGTCCTCAGCTGTAGACAGTTGCAAAGATTTTCAAGTATTGGTTTTGTAGGGATTTTCTGTCATTGGATGGAGGATTTCATCATGAGCTGAAAAACCTGGAGGTTTTCCAATGGACGAAACAGCTGTGCAGTACTCCCAGCAGGTTTTCCAGTGGTTCTCTAACTGATGTCAGCCCATGATAAAATCCTCCAACCAATCAAACAAAATCCCTACAAAACCAATACTTGACAATTAATCTGATGCTCACTAGCGACTGGACCTATTCAGGCAGTGACCTGGGGTTCTTGTGGGAAGCTGTGACCAGTAGGGTACAGCAGGTTTAAGATAAGGCAGTAACTCATTAAAGAAGACTTTGCGAAATGGTCGCGCAATGTCGTGAATTTGCAGAAGGTAGAATTCAAGGACCATTGGATCGGGTCCTAGTGGTTTAGTGGTCTACGACCTGGCTGGCCTTGTAACCAGAAGGTCTTGGGTTCGAACCCTCTCTGTGGATGCGTACTGCTAAAGAGACCCAAGAGATTAGGACGAAACAGCTGTCAAGTTGTAAAGATATTGTACGGTTAAAATATCTCCTAGAATTAAATCAAACTTTTCACGAACGCAGCCACACTGATACCGTGTAAAGTGAAGGTAAGCGTCAGTACAAAATTTGTTGTGCACGTGTAACTTATGTTGCCTTTTGTTGTTGTGAAGATCTCACAACTCACTACATAGAGTCCCTATCTTATCAGTTTCTGACGTGGATTCATTAACATACATACATACTTCTTTACTGATAGAATTCACATGCTGCGCAACTCACTTATATTCACACTGAGACACCAATGAATTCGTAGATAGTGTTTAAAAGGAATAACAGACGTAATAACTTCTTTTTCTATGTTCGCCTTTCTCTATCTCTCTCTATTCTCCCACCTGCAGTGTAAGCCATCATCAAGTAGTTCAGATAGTTCAGGTGGTCGTGGTGTCAATAAAGAAGATGAGGCAAATGAATGTTTACAACCCTTAATGGATCATTTCGAGTCGATTCTCTCTATCCTGGCAAATATTTGTGACAAAACTGTATTGAAAAGAGTGTTGAAAGTAAGTCAATAACCACGGCTATGTATTCTACAAAGAGTAATTGATTAGGAAAATTAAATTTTTAATAACAGATATTTTATTATCAGTCTAGGAATCATGATCAGAGATAGTCTATAATAAATATAACTTTTAGCACATAACAAAGACACAACAGTAACTGGTGTTCATCAGTTATAATGTTCGAAGTACAGTGTACTGCTACAAGTCATATTATAACAATAGAAGACAAGGGCCAGGAAACAGATCCTTTATTGAGAAAATGAAGAGATATTTAAAGATTTTTGTGTACATTAGTATTCGTTATTGTTAGCAGAAAAGCGACGTCTTCTGATTGGTTATTTTCCTACTGAAGGTTATTCTGTCATCTCTTTGTTGCCATTTCTTAGACAATCCAGTGATATATCTGCGAATCGTATCCGCCCACGCTAAGTCTGCTGTGATTGGTTGTTGAGTTCCTCAGGGTTAGGTTTTGTTCTTGTTTTCTTTCCTCATGACCAAAATTTGGAACGTAAGCATTGACATAAATAGCTGTCTACCAATTTTGGCTAACAGACAGCTCTCACCACAATATCACACATAAAATCTCAACAAGAGACAAACTTGACTGATGCAATTACACAAAATGATTCGACTTGTCAAATATATTATAAGTATGAGTTAAAATACATTTGGTTAAATCTAGTCAGTGGAGACTATCAGAGCACAAGCAATGAGATAAATTTAGATTCATAGACATCTGATAGACTTAATATAGAAACTAATCATCATTGCAACGTGTGGATTAAAACTCATCCAAGCCAGTGTAGCTTGTTGGCTGACTGCGTTATACAAACCCGACCACCACGACAAGTTAGCATTTATCAGCCAGGGATGTTGTCTTTACGGAGTGGAATTGCTAGACTGACCTCCAACCGACATCTCTTCTTTTTCAGGTTTACTACTTGTTAGGCAAAGTTTAATAAGGCATCAGTCAGAAATAGAATATGGAACTCCTGAGTGGCTGCCGAGCATCCTGCCACTGAATCATCGACACTTAAATGCAATGAAATGACGTTTTTCACTATCCCCCCTCCCCTCTTGTCCCTACATATCATTATATATATCTACATGAAGATCTATTTACTATCTCTTTGTGTATTTATCATTATTATTGTTATCATTATAATCAGTTGTAATTGGCTTGCCACATACCTACTTTCTTTTTTATACAGCAACTATGGAGAGTGACAATGTGTAATCTAGAAAAACTCGTAGTCCTACCAGCAGTTACAGATCAAAAACAAGTAAGTAGAAGATATTGAAGTCTTGTCTTTCCTTTTTGCATAATCATTATCAAGAGTGTGAATTTGGATTCCGGTTATTTCAAATGAGATATATTCACCATGGAGAAAGATGGTTAGATAATTGTATGCCTTTATAGAAATGCATAATAGTTAGAATACCATCATTAGTGCTGGATGTATTGGGACGATGTAAATTTTAACAACGCTAAGTAATAACCTACACAATAGTGAGTGCAAAAATAAACCAATATATTATATATCTCCAAACCAAGTTCACTCTTAACAGTTTGAAAAAATTTGAGCATTGGGTATATGATATTCATTAAAATAAAGGTTTTTTTGTATTTCCCAATGAATGAAAAATAAAACGATATTGTTTTTACTGATGTTTCGCTATTTAATGCTAATAGCTTTATCAAAGTAGTATTATTAAACCAGAATGTACAAAATCTCAGCTTATATGTAACAACTTAATCATCATTCCTAAGCATGGGGTTATTTTTGCGTTGTCAAGTTGACCAGTTGGTAAAGATAACAAAACCAGGTTTAGATTGGTGGATTTGGTAAGTGTGAAAAAATGTAAAAGCAGCGTGTGTTTACATAATGAAATTGCTTAGCACATTCATGCTGATTTTGTCATTTCATGGGAGAGGGGAGTATTGTGACCAGGTCAAATTCTGTTTTAGTCCGTCATTCCTATTCAGACAATTTGGATTCCACTTGATATGAAGTGCTTCTGATATTAGACGTTCTTTGTGATTTCAATATTGTCAAAATCAATTTTGTGACCTGATTCTATAGCCTGTAGACGAGCAATGGCTGATGATTTTTCAAGCTTTTCTAGTTCAACAGGATTTCTCGGTGGTCGAAGAGATACTCTACGGTGTTCATTTCTTCTGATTTTGATTTCTCTTTTGTGATGTTTGTCCAATGTAGATCGCGTCACATTCCAAGCATTTTATTTTATAGACACAATTAGATAGGGAATCTTTAGGGATTTGGTCTTTTATATAGACAAGGTTGCTCAGCAGTGTATCTGATGTTTTAAAGAAAACTTTGATTTCGAGCTTACTGAGTACTCTTCTGATATCGTCTGACGTTTTCGCTCTGTGTGAAATGACAACCAATATATCTTGACAATTTTCTCAATGCTGCATTTATAGCTGAAATATAGAGCTTTATGTCATATGAATAGTTTAGATGCTTAAATGTTCTGAAGGTTGCTTCTAGTCAAGTTTTGTAGAAATTTGGCTTTTTAGTCCCGGTTTTGGATTGATGAACTCCACAAAGTACCTAACCAATGACCTCCAGGTTATGGAGTGAGTATATCACCATTCGTGCGTCGATAGCACAGAGGTAGAATGCTAGCCGACCACACAGGTAGTCCGGGGTCCGATTCCCAGCCACTGACGCACTTCTTTACTTCGCTAAGCCAGGAAAAAAAAGACTAGTAAAGAGGGGAGTTTGGGCATGAGGCTAGCAGCCCCATCCTGTAAAAGTAATCACTACTGCTACCGAAAATTCAAGCCTCTAGCTTGAGGCTGCCCTATGTTCCACTGGGAATGCAAAGGAATAAAAAAAATATCACCATTCAGTCATTGGGTTCTACTCAGACAGTCTATTAGTTCTAACTGATGTCAGTTTGTGATATACAGTCATCGCCATCCAGTTTCATAGGTTAGTATCTGTTCCCACAACTGACTTGATAAGCACTGACCGATCAGGACTTCTCATTAGCAATCGAGGAATCACATTACGTAGATATTAAAATGTTGAATTCATGGGTTTATGTCAAAATCTAACTGGAAACCATCCGTATACGAAAATACCCAACATTTGGAAACTAACCTGGGAGTTTACTCGCTGTATTCTACAAATGAAGATTGTAAAAAGAAATTAGGGTTTTAAAATTCACGCGATAAGCTATCCAGAACTCTTGCGGTTGCAGTGTACTGACTCAACTTCCCTAGTTGGGTCAAATGGGATATATCACTGATGAACTCTGCCCCGAACGGCTGAAATGGTCATCCGGTGTCTAGATCGTTTCGATCTAATGATCTACCAAGCATCACTGTCTGACATGAGTGATTTCCAACTATTTATATTAATCTATTGTTAGTCGCATATCCTACAATGATATTCAATTGACTTCTAGTACACATACCTAAATTATGTAAGTTGACAGACGCTGTAGACATTTGGATTAGCCAAATGACTGGCTATTCTGTTAGTGTTTAGACCGCTATACTCATCAAAGTATCTGGCTATATTTATATACCAATTCATTTAATTATTTAATTAAATTTTAGATTTTACCATCGATTGATTGGAACGAAGTGCTCGGTCTCAGGTTGGCATGTCGGCTTCTTGTGCAGATGCTTCGATCATGTCTGAGCACGTAATTAGATGATAATTGGTGGATGGTGACTAGCAGTGGAATCCAGGTTGCTCATTTCGTCCCACTTGGAAGTCGTCATCTGGATGTGCGTGAGTAATGACGTTCCCACCGAGGCTCGAACCCAGTGCCCATAGTTTGAAACGCCAAAGCGTTATCCACTAGACCACTTAAGCCACATCCAGGCACATCCATCTGACGAATCCCAAATAGGACGAAATGCGCAACTTGAATTCCACTGCTAGTCACCATCCACCAATTCGATTCATTTAATGTCTAAAATACAACAACCAATCCAAAGACTATCGTATTTTTACTCTCAGTGAACATGACAGTATAAATATTTTCCCACTTTGATAAATCTCTACAATGTGAAACAGATTAAGTTGATGGGATAAGATCACATTATTTTACTTTATAGATGCGCTGTCAGAGCTGAACGATGATGCAAGAAATGTTTTACATTAAAAAGAATCAAAACAAGTGATTCAGCGGAAAGACTCGTTCCAACGAATTTATTACCAAGCTGTACAATCGAATAAATATATGGTTTTTAAGAAGTTATATCCGTTGAGGGAATTGAATCATAGGTGTGAATGCATAAAATAATAATAATAGTAGTATGAAATGCAATTAAAAATAAAATGTTTGTGATTATAATCATAGTTAAATGTCAAGTGGCAAAACAATACTGTCACATATAGAATACTTCGTAGGATGTACAGAACTTGAAAAAGGGTATGCAATTATAAGATTAGTAGACAAATCGAATAAAATAAAAACGTTATGTAATATTGTGTGAAACTTAATAGCATAGAATTTAATATTGTAAAAAGGAATTGATTTAGAATGACAAGTGGAACAAGTGAAATAATACCGGGGACAGTTCAGTGGGAGAATAGTAATAGTAACAGTAACAATTGACGTAATAAAGGGAGAGTAGAAAAATTGAATAGACAAAATGAAAAAAACTGGTAGAGCCAAAATATGATTAGGGATTACCATACTTTAGCATAGTAGAGGGATAAAGACCATGAAAGTTGGAGGGGTTGAAAGATTTTTTTCTGTAGACAAAGATCTTGGCCAAGGCTGCAGCAATACAGATGAGTGGGGTACGTAGTGATTTCGGTAAATTACTTTTTTCCATGTAGATGACTTTAAAGGCGGAGGCTATAGATATAGGGTGATCATTATCGACCAGATATTCATTGATCACGCTTCTTACTGCTCCACTTCCACCTCTTCGTAATCAAGCAGGATAGTGTTCTTGCACCCTCTGGGACAAAACTCGAGTCGAACGACCGATATACTCTTCTTTTTTAAATTTCACGCAATATAACGTAACGTTTATATTTCATTCGATTTACCTACTAATCCTATAATTGCACACTCCTTCCAAATTCTACATATCCTATGAAATATTTTATATATGACCATAACTGTTTTATTGTATGGAGGATTTCATCATGAGCTGACATCAGTTAGAGAACCGCTGAAAACCTCCAGGGAGTACTAGACAGCAGTTTCGTCCTGACTTGGGAGTCTCAGGCAGTACGCACCCACCAACAGGGTTTGGACGTAGCACCTTCTGGTTCCAAGGCGAGTGAGGTCGTAGACCATTAAGCCACAGGAACCCGATCCAACGGCCAGCCCATGAATTATAACTTCTGCCAATTCATGACATAACATAACCACTTCACAATGTCTTTTTCGATGAGTTACTGCCTCACCTCCAACCTACTGTACCCTACTGGTCACGGCTTCCCACTAGAACCCCGAGTTAATTGCCTATATAGGGCCAGTCGCTAGTGAGCATCAGAATAATTTTCAAGTTCTAGTGGGAAGCCGTGACTAGTACAGGCAGTAACTCACCGAAGAAGACATTGCGAAATTGTCGCGCTATGTTGTGAATTGGCAGAAGTGATAATTCATGGGCTGGCCATTGGATCAGGTCCCAGTGACTCAGTGGTCTACGAGCTAGCTCACCTTGTAACCAGAAGGTCCCGGGTTCGAACTCTGTCGGTGGAGGCGTACTGATGAAGAGTCCCAAGCCAGGACGAAACAGCTGTCGAGTACTTCAGTGCTGGTTTTCCAGTGGTTCTCTAACCAATGTCAGTTCATGATGAAATCCTCCATCCAATCAAACAAAATCCCTACAAAACTAATACTCGAAAAATAATTGTTTTGCCACTTGACATTTAACTATGATTATAATCACAAACATTTTAGTTTTGTTTTGTTTTGATTTTCTACTTGTTAGAATGAGAATATTCCATGAATTAAATTAAAGAGTTCGAAATATTTAAATTATCCAAAAAAGTGAAAAAGATCAACCTTTCTGTCTCAAAATATCGTGAATTAGTATGAACTGACGAAGAGACAGTTTAGGAAGTGTAATAAACAAAAAACAGCTAAAGGAAACAGACAACAAGCAGTAAAAGAAAGAATCGGTCAGAGTTCGTAAAGACTTCATATCAAATCAGTGAAATGAATTCTATAGATGGGTAGAATAAGGAATTGTCCAATTAACTCGTACTCAAAATACAAACTGTCAAAGCTCTAAGAGTCTAATCATATTCCTTGTTCCATTGCAGTTGCCTTCACAATAATCTCACTTTCTTCTAAGTGAATTTCGTAAATGAGGTATTATCATACTCGGTTTCCTCGAGGAAAATTACCGAATACATAAAACTGGAAAAAGACCCCCCTCCTCCCGATAATCTGGTACAGCTTGATGAATAGTTCAGTGAACGCTGCATCGATTAAACATTATTATTATATTATTATTATTGTTTCCTTTAATTCCTAGAGGAACATAGGGCTTCAGCCGTGCGTCTCCATTGAGTTCGGTTCTCTGCTAGAGTCTCCACCTGGCTCCAAGTCTGCCCACACGCTTTCATCTCCTCTTCACATGACCTCATCCAAGTCACCCTCGCACTGACGACCAACTCGCCGCTTCCCTTTCGGCTGGGTTCCACTCGAGCAATGGCTTGTCTAATGATGTCACTTGATGGTTTCCTCAGAGTATGGCCAGCCAATCCATCTCCATTTCTTCCTGCCTATTTGTTTCACAATCGGTTCCTGTTAGGTTGGTTCGCTACCAGAGATCTCTGTTGCTGATCTTTTCTGGCCAGCCATCTGATCTTGAGTATTGAGTGAAGACAACTGTTAATGAAGGTCTGTAGTTTGTTTGAGATGCTCTTTATGACACGCCAAGTCTCTGATCCGTATAGTAGCACTGACTGACTTCACATTGGAGTTGAAAATCCGGATCTTATTTTTCATTCTGAGGTCTGTTGACCTCCACACAGACTTGAGAGTAGTGAAAGCTTGTCTTGCTTTTCCGATTCTTGCTTTGATATCCTCGTCAGTTTCGTCCGCCTGTAGTTGAAACGATGCTTTCCAGTTAGGTAGGTAAAGGAGTTTGATTCTTTCAGGTTCCTTCCATTTATGCTGATCGTTGTCTGTTGTTGTTGTTCTTGTCCAGGAATCTTCATTACCTCTGTTTTCTCTATATTCACCTGAAGTTCTATCTTTGATGCATCTTCTATCAACTTGTTGCTTTTCGCTTGCATATCTTCCAGTGTTTGTGGGAAATCGGACATATATCATCGACGAAGTCCAAATCCTCCAAGTTTTTTGTGTGAGTCCATTTTATGCCTGTTTCCTCATTCCCCGCTGTTTGTCGCATTATCCAGTCTACTGCAATCAGGAAAAGCACTGGCGATATATATATACATATATATATATAATTAGTCCTTTGGGTTCCAAGTGAAACACAGGCCTTCAGCGGCACATCTCCACTGCACTCTGTTCTCCGCTGTCATTTTAGCCGGCTGAACAACTTCGAAAAGCTTTCACCTGCTCCTCTTTACCTAATCTCTTCCACATAAACCTTAGACCCACGCTTAACTCGTTGCTTTTCATTAAGGTTCCCAATGAGAACTTGAAGTGCGATGTCATTCAATTTTTTTTCCTTCACGTTCCCCAGTGGAACATAGGGCTTCAAGCTAGTGGCTTGAAGTTTCGGTAGCAGTGTTTATTTTATTTTACAGGATGGGGTTGCTAGCCTCATGCCCAACCTTTCCTCTTCACCAGCATTATTTCTGGCTTAGCGAGGTAAAGGAGTGCGTCGGCCGGGGTTTGAACCCCGGACCATGTGCATGGTCGGCGAGCGTCCTAACCACTATACCACCGATGCATTCAATGGTCTCTTATAATAAAGTCGTTAATGATCAGTTTATTGCAGTCTATATATTAAAAAGTTGTTAAAGTTTAGCCGGTTTTAACAATTTTTCAATATGTATAAATTGTTGTTTATATTATCTTAGCTGGCTATGGGGTTAATTCTGAGTGGTAATACATCGGCAAAATTAATCGGAGGTGCACAAAGCCTATTGAGTCATGTTGGGGGTCAAGTTGTACCTGGGAAAATTTTATCTGTAAGTTAAAATTCAGTATGAATGTTTCTATTTGAACAACACATACAGTCTGCCCGCCTGTCTTTTATTTCAATATAAAACTTTGGTTTTATACACTGAATCTCTGTTTGGCTTGTGATTTATATTGTGAAAACTTTCTGAGTCCCATATGTGTTCCGTACGCTTAAATCAACCAAGGTCAATGGTGAAGATCTTTAATTTGCTACTGAAAACAGTAGATTACACTTAATGCCTACGAGATATATTGGTTATATCGAGCATATATAGCTGGAGTATAACGTATAAAACTATAAGAAATAATAAAGGTTAATTGTAACCAGTGTTTCCATTCCTCAATCATCCATCTATGGAAACAAATAGGCGATTTTCTGTAGTCTGGTTTGTAAGGGTTAGTTTTGTTTTTATGAGTTGATCATGGATTGATATCAGTTAGAGAACCATCGAAAACTAGCAGGGAGTACTGGACAGCCAGCTGTTTCACCCCAGTTTGGGAATCATCGGCAGTACGCATCCACCCCACTGCCAGGGTTCGAACCCAGGACATTCCGGTTACAAGGCGAGTGAGCTCGAATACCATTCAGCCACTAGGACCCGACTCTTCAATGGCCAACCCATGAGTTCTAACTTCTACCAATTCGTGCGTACTACAGATGATTACAAAACTAGGATGAAACAGCTGTCCAATACTCTCTGCTAGTTTTCAATGGTTCTGTAACTGATAACAGTCCGTGATCAACTCGTAGAAACAAATCTAATCCTTACAAACCAACAAGCATTCCGCTCTGAAATTATGACACATAATAAGGGGCAGGGAGTAGGGCAAATTCTCGCCTCTTTGACTCTTCATGGATTGATTTGTTCCCTAAGTTAGAGTAATTGGACTAAATAATTGCGGCAGATAAGTTATCTGCTGAAAAAACCTTCTATATCATCTGGGTACCCTGAATAAAGAGGTATACGTAGTTTTTGGCTATAATTCCCTAGATGGTGCCAGATTACAACTCACCGATATCTGGTTTGATAACTAGCCATAGAGTTGTCAAAATCACTGACCCTAGTAAATGTGTGAGAAAGTTCCTGAATTATTTCCGGTCAAATCAGGAAGATCGGGTAGAAAAGAGGTAATAAGATCATAATCACTGAAAAACTTGACTGTTTGTACAATTACTGACTAGGGACGTAGTAATAACAAAATAGGTAGGAAGTTCAGATGTGTAAAAAATAAACAAACATCTATTAATGCAGATAGAAAACCTACATAGACAGGATATTATCTTAATTATCACAGTTTTTGCCCTGTTCGGTATAAAAGAGCCTTAGTAAGGCGCCTCTTCAGTAGAATCTAACGAATATGCACTGAAGACACACTTGATAATGAAGAGAAGAAATCCGTCACAAACTCTGGTTGATAATAAATATCCATACAAGTTTATCACGAGATATAGAGTAGTCAGAACACCAAGACCCACTCTCCAACTCGCCCCTAAGAAAGACGTATACATCAAGCTACCCTATATGAGGCATCATAGCAGTTTGATAACTAGACAAAGATTGAACGACGCCGTGGTTAAAAGGACTTCTTATGTATCTAGTACCACAATAATTGAAAACGTACCTCCAATATATCCATCTAAGCCCTTTGAACATGCGAAAAGTGACGTCACATCCCACTGTATTTGCCAATTCGAATGTACGTGTGGACACATCGATCTCTGCAAGTAAGAGCTGGCTTCAGAGCATATCCTTTAATAACTCCAGAAGCAAATAGAATTCCCAGAACCTATTAATGGTGAGAACAGACGACGACCTAGGTCCTCTATTGCGAAACACAGTATAGAGACAGGACACAAAATTGGTATTTACACGTCTTTTAAACCTATCTACAAAACGTGTTTGGGGCATATCCTGAAGTCTGTGGAAGCCTTAGCCGGCAGTTAGGAAGTCTAAACCACCTTTATGAGTTCAAAAAGAATCCGTAATCACACTAACTCTTCCTTGGTAAACTTTGTTTTGATACCAGCCAGGGCAGATGTACTATTACCTCTCTTCTTTGGTTTAGTGATCTTCATTGTTATTTTGACATTTAGTATGTACTTTTAACTTGACCTTAACTTATTTTCTCACTCCTTAGCTCTTTATTAATTTCATATATGTTTCTATGACAAGTCCGTGTGTGATGGATCAGACTGTTCGAAATGTGTTGCACAAATACAACATTACACGATTCAGATAGACAAATTACGTCTTCTTATTGCTTTGTCTAAATATTATTATTATTTGCTTTAATTCCTAGACTAACACAGGGCTTCAGCCGCGCGTCTCCATTGCGTTCGGTTCTCTGCCAGAGTTTTCACCTGACTCCAAGTCTGCCCACACGTTTTCTTCTCCTCTTCACATGACCTCCTCCAAGTCATCCTTGCACTGACGACCAACTCGCCTCTTCCCTTTCGTTAGGTTCCACTCGAGCAATGGCTTGTCTAGTAATGTCACTTGATGGTTTCCTCAGAGTATGGCCAATCCATCTCCATTTCTTTCTGCATATTTGTTGCACAATCGGTTCCTGCTGGGTTGGTTCGCTCCCAGAGATCTCTGTTTCTGATCTTTTCTGGCCGGCCATCTGATCTTGAGTACTGAGCGAAGACAACTGTTAATGAAGGTCTGTAGTTTGTTTGAGATGCTCTTTATGACGCGCAGTGCAAGTCTCTGATCCGTATAGTAACACTAACTTCACATTGGAGTTGAAAATCCGGATCTTATTTTTCTTTTTGAATGCTGTTGACCTCCACACAGACTTGAGAGTAATGAAAGTTTGCCTTGCTTTCTCAATCCTCACTTTGATATCCTCGTCATTTCCACCCGTAGTTGAAACGATGCTTTCCAGTTAGGTAGGTGAAGGAGTTAGATTCTTTTAGATTCCTCCCATTTATGGTGATTGTTATCTGTTGTTGTTGCTGTTGGTGGTGTTGGCCAGGAATCTTCGTCGCCTCTGTCTTTAAGTTCTCTTCTATGTTCACTTGAAGGCCTATCTTCTCTGGATGCTTCTTTTGCCAACTTGTTGCTTTTCACTTGCATATCTTCCAGTTTGTGGCAAATCAGAAAAATATCATCGGCGAAGCCCAGATCCTCCAAGTTTTTTGTGTGAGTCCATTTTATGCCTGCCTCCTCGCTGTCTGGCCCGCTGTCTGTCACATTATCCAGTCTACCACCCTCACTCAGGAAAATCATTGTAGATAGTAGGCAGCCAGCGTGTCTTACTCCTGCCTTCACTTCGAAGGATTTGGTGAGTTTCCGGTTGTGGGTTACTTGGCTGTCAAGCAGCATTGTGGTACAACTGTTGGATGAGGTGTATAATTGTCGGTGGCACCCCGTAGTAGCGAAGTAGTTGCCAAATCACCTCTCGATCGACGCTGTCGAAGGCCTTTTCAAAGTCGATGAAGTTGAGATAGAGAGGTGACTGCCATTCCAAGCTTTGTCCAGTGATAATCCGTAGTGTGGCAATTTGATCAACACATGACTTGTTTCTCCTGAATCCAGCTTGTTCCGGTCGAAGTTTTTCATCCAGGGCTTGTTTGATTCTCTCCAATATGGTGCGGCTTAGTATTTTGCTTGGGATAGACAGGAACATAATTCCGCGCCAGTTCTTGCACGACTTTCGTCTCCTTTCTCTGGTAGTTTGAATAAGTATCCTTTCTTCCAATCCTCGGGTACTTTGCCTTCTTTCCACACCTTCTCCAGTAGTGGCGTCATCAAGTCCGCTGTTGTCTCTGGATCCATTTTCAATGCCTCTGCTTTTGTCTAAATAGGATAATCATTATTGGTGGGATTGACTTTTCATGATGTCCACAGTAGGAACAACGGTTTGACGTAGTTGTTTTGAACATATAGCGTGGGCTTGAGCTTTTGGATCGCCTGTGTCTCAGCTAACTTAAATCCTTTGATTTAACCTTTGATAGGGAATAATTCAGGTATTTTCTCTCACATTTACTGTAGATACACGAATGTACAGCCCAGTTGATGAATTCATCTAGAAAAGGGAATTTTCTTCACTGCAACCGTCTTTTTAATAATTCTTACAATTCAATATACAGGGAATTTAATCTAATGTAATCTGTATGACAGATAGATAGTCTTATAGTTATTTTCTTTACAAAGTGAGGTGTTTTTACCTTCAAACTATTCTAATAATGATGATAAAATTACAAGATAAACTGACTTGAAAACAGTCTGGGTTAGGTTGCAGACATACATGGACACTCAGTGAGAAGGAACATCTTTCCCTGAAGAAGTATGCATACAGATTAATAACAATCGCTTATTCCCGATTTTCTGTTTTTTTTTTGTGATAGCAATCAACCACATTAACTTTTTGCATCCACGATTCTTCTTGGCTTTTATTACTGCTTACTTAATTTAATATACCATAGACTGATAGCTTTCTAGTTAAATTATCTACGTTTTATTTTGTGTTTGGCGTTTGTTTTTGTTATCCTTACTATCATGTTGTTCTATCTCTGATGTGTATAGACCAGATTTAATCTCTGCAGTATTATTCGTCTATTTATCTTTTTCTTCAGCATTCTGTGTTATCAAATTGAGTTTTAAATATGTACGCGTGTGAGTGTGCATGTCTTTAAAATACACATTACTTTCATGCTTCCAATCGCAGTCTCGCGCATCGGTGATTCAGTGCAGTAGTAGAACACTGGCTAACCATGCAAGTGACTAGGGGGGTTCGATCCCCAGCCACCAACGCACTCCTTTACCTTGCTTAGCCGGGGAGTATGCCAGGCAAAGGAAGGGAAGGTTAGGCATGAGGCTAGCAATCCTATCAAAGCTCTAGCTTGAAGGCACTCTGTGTTCCACTAGGAATGCAAAGGAATAAAATAAATAATAATAGGACTCTGAAGAGTCCCAAACTAGGACGAAACAGCTGTCCAGTACTCCCACGTTTTCCAATGGTTCTCTAACTAATGTCAGCTCATGATGAAATCCTATAACCGATCAACTAAATCCCTACAAACCAACACTTGAATATCAATGAGATGCTCACTAACGACTTGCCCTATTCAGGTAGGTAGTTACCTGAGATTCTAGTGAGAAGTCGTGACCAGTAGGGTGCAGCAGGTCGGGCGTGAGGACAAATACTCGCCGAAGACATTGGCTAACGGTCGCGCTATGTCGTGAATTGGCAGAAGTTAGAATTCATGGGCCATTGGATCGAGTCCCAGTGGCTTAGTGGTATACGAGCTCGCCTTGTAACCAGAAGGTCCTGGGTTCGAATCCCGGTGGGTGCGTACTACTGAAGAGTTCCAAACTAGGACGAAAAAGCTGTCCAGTACTCCCAGGTTTTCCAATGGTTCTCTAACTGATGTCAGCTCATGATGAAATCCTGAAACAATTAATTATTTCTGTAGTAGTTGATAACTGAAGGTAAAATGAATATAAGATTTGAACGGATAGCTTTCAGTTAGCAGTTGGACCTGGTGAACAAGTGGATGGTTTATTGCTAGGTAAGTAATCCAAGAGATACTAGTATGAATCCAATCATGGACTTGATTCTAACTTTCCACTTTGGTTAGTTGTTTTTTTTTGCTAGTCAATGTTTCGTCGCCAGAGTATGCATCCACAGCACTATTGTATGACTGATAAGTTACTACGCAAGCATGTTAACAAATAGTAGCTTTGATGATATTAGATGGTTGGAGGCGATCGACCACGCGAAGCTTTGCTCGACCTAGGTTTCGTCCTAGTTGGCACTCACCAGTCAGCAAGGCGTATCTGCAGTCATCTCGCAGGGACTCATGTCCCTTCTGAGATTCGAATCCGCGTCACTCAGTGCTGCCTGCAGTCAGAAACGTTACCACTGAGCTATTCGGGCTCGCGATTGACCTCCTGTAGGACTCTAGTGGATACTTTGATTGAACACGAGTAACGTCTGTGACTGCAGGCAGCACTGGGAGACACGAGTTCAAATCTCAGAAGGGACATGAGTTCCTCTGAAGTGACTGCAGATACGCCTTGCTGACTGGCGAGTGCCGACTAGCACGAAACCTAGGTCGAGCAAGGCTTTGTGTGGTCTATCGCCTCCAACGATCTAATATCATCAAATCAAATGTACACATTTGATGGGGAGCTACCTAGAATGATGGCTACAGGTGGCAAACCTGGCTGAGAGAATTCAGTCTGCACCAAACAAAGGACTAGACACATCACACTAGTTACTAGTGTCCAGTCAAAACAGTAGCTTTGTTGAAATTAAGTTACCTATGGTTTCAACATTTTTCTTTAAGACATAGTGATATCCCCTTGTAATGACATTGACACATTCACCAACAAACACTTGATCTGTACTTTTATATATTTGGTCTTCAGAAATTTGACCGATTTTATTCTCCAGTATGTTTAAAATCGATTTTTTTGAAGAATTCCAATATGTTTAGGGATTGTAATGATAGTCAGTGTGGTTCAGTAACAAAATCAATGAAGCCTCAGGAATGTACAGGGTTGTATACCACACCGATTACAAAAGAAAATTGTCTCACATATGACATTCGTATTCCTTAGTGATTCACATACTCCAGTCTTAAAAGAGGTGATTTGTGTGAGTGATTATCAAATATTTACAAAGTAATCTCGAATCAGTGCACTGTAATAGTTAAACTATAATTACCAGTTGGTGTAGTCAGTGCTACTATACGGATCAGAGATTTCCACTGCGCGTCATAAAGAGCATCTCAAACAAACTACAGACCTTCATCAACAGTTGTCTTCCCTCAATACTCAAGATCAGGTGGCCAGCCAGAAAAGATCAGCAACAGAGATCTCTGGGAGCGAACTAACCGGGAACCGATTGTGAAAGAAATAGGCAGGAAGAAATGGAGATGGATTGGCCATACTCTGAGAAAACAAACCATCAAGTGACATCACTAGACAAGCCCTCGAGTGGAACCCGAAAGGGAAGCGGCGAGTTGGTTGTCAGTGCAAGGATGACTTGGAGGAGGTCATGTGAAGAGGAGATGAAAGCGTGTGGGCAGACTTGGAGCCAGGTGAAGACTCTAGCAGAGAACCGAACTCAATGGAGACGCACGGCTGAAGCCCTATGTTCCTCTAGGAATTAAAGGAAACAATAATAATAATAACACTAGTTGGTGAAAAAACTACTATCTCATAACAACTTTAATTTTGGCAGTCGAATGAAACGCTCCAGGCGTACACCTATTCGATGCATGACGGTAATGAACTACTGATGGGTCGGTATGAACAGATGAAAAGCGCTCATATTAACGAATCATCCTTACTAGGTAGATCGAAGTTTTCTGTAGCTGGTTTGCAAAGATTAGTTTTGTTTTTACGAGTTGATCACGGATGGGTATCAGTTAGAGAACCTTTGAAAACCCAACAAGGAGTACTGGACAGCCAGCTGTTTCATCCTAAGTTGGGAACCATCAGCAGTAAGCACCCATCCCACTGCCAGGGTTCGAATCCGGGACCTTCAGGTTATAAGGCGAGTGAGCTCGAATACCATTCAGCCACTGGGAGCCGACTCTTCAATGGCCAATCCATGAATTCTAACTTCTACTAATTCATGATTTAGCGCGACCCTAATCAATGTCGTCGATGGGACATGCATCCTCACACGTGACATCTGGATGAACCTCACTGGTCACGATCGAAGTTACTAAAACATCAGACAGCCGTTTTGCCCACTCAAAGTTGAGGTCATCGGTAATGCTGCTGAATTGACTCAACTGAGAGAAACAAATCAATTTAAACCGCTCGAATTTCAGTTAGCTGCTTAGTTGAACTGGTAATGCATTGATGCATCGGATTCGCCATTTGCAAACGACACAGTTCGGGGCGGAAATTCATCCTAGTCAGCAGTGCTACACTCTTAGTTGATGGTGGGTGGTATCCACCTACTCACATCAATAAATCATCCCATTATGTCTTGATAATTATTTTCTTGTTTTGCCATTTATGATATTATTATCAAGCCAATCATATATTTTGGTTTTGGAGAATTTCATCATGAGCTGACATCAGTTAAAGAACCATTGGAAAACTTTCAGGGAGTACTGGACAGCTAGCTGTTCCGTCCTAATCTCTTGAGTCTCTTTATCAGTACGCACCCACCGACAGAGTTCCAGCTCAGTACCTTCTGGTTACAAGGCCAGCCAGGTCGTAGACCACTAACCCACTGGGACCCGATCCAATGACCAGCCCATGAATTATAACTTCTGCTAATTCATGACATAACGCGACCAGTTCGCAGTATTTTCTTCGATGAGTTACTACCTCATCTTCAACCTACTGTACCCTACTGGTCACGGCTTCTCACTAGAACCCCAAGTCATTGCCTGAATAGGTCCAGTCGCTAGTGAGCATCAGATTAATTTTCAAGTATCGGTTATGTAGAGATTATTGTTCCATTGGTTTGAGGTTTTCCAATGGATAAAACAGCTGTCCAGTCCTCCCTGTAGGTTTTCCAGTAGTTCTTTAACTAATGTCAGTTCATGGTAAAATCTTTTAGTATGAATTAATTGACTAGACTGGTTCTGTGTTAGTTATTTTAGCCAGTAGATCACTTATGGAAATAAAAGGCGGAAAACGTGTGTGAAAAAACGCGAATTCCTTAAAATCACCTCTTTACGTCTTTAATTTTAATTCAAAGAGTCTACTCAAATTGTCCATGTTTTGTTCCTTGTTTTCTAGGAAGCAACACGTGAATCTGAGAAAGGTCTTACACCATATCAATGTGAATTACTCGGTATGTGTTTGAATACAATTCGAGTATACTTTCATGCTGGTGGACGTGGATTGAAACGATCATTTCTTGATCGTAGTCCAGAACTTCATAGTCTACGACAGGTATTAGCTCTTTATTCTCAAGCTACAGATGAACTATTGAGAGATTTTGTAGCTACACAAACTTCACAAGGTAAGTAATACTAACGACCCTGTATAAATTGTATTTTTCGACAACACAATAAGAAGACTCAGTTTATCTGAAACGTGTAATGCTTTATTTGCGCAACACATTTCGGAGATTCTGATCACACACTTGTCAGACACACGTTTATAGAAGGCAAGAAATCATGAATTATTACAATACAGGTCAGATTTTGTACAGGTCAACATCATATAATAGGTAAGGAGATGTGTGGGTGTGGGTAAGAAAGAGAAAAATAGAAAAAACAAAGCAAGGAAGCGGTTGAAAATATTATGAAGAAAATTGGTCCTTGGTTCTAAATTGGATTACCAAGGCAGGTTTGAAGTAATAACAAATAACTTTTGGACATATAAGACAGGTTTAAGTCTTTTCATGGCCAAGGCTTCAAAGAATTTAAGTATGTGACCTAACCTTGTTTTATATATGGGCTTAAAGGCATTGTTGAAATCCACCTTATGACCCGTCTATATAATGTACTTTGCTATAGATGCTGTTGGACATCTATTTCTGGCGATTTTATGTGTTGTTGCAACCACTGTGGAATATGTTCTGTAGCCCTAACTTGCAGAGACCGATGGGTCCTCCTTATGTACGTGTGTCCACACATCCATGTAAATTGATAAACACAGTAGGATGTGACACCATCGTTCGGCTACTGTGTGGGTTTAGAGGACAGTATAATTCTCGTTTTCTCTATGAAGATAAGTTCCGCTGCATAATAAGCTCTATTAATTGCCGCCTTGAGTCTTTGTTTGCTGACCAGACTTTGTTGATCACCCATGAAAGGCAAGGATATATAAACATCCTTTTGGGGAGCTGATTGGATTGGTAGAGCTCTTTGGTTGACACTTCCGTAACGCCTAATAAATCTCAGAGGATAATTGTTATCTTTCTTCTTCAATTGTATCGGCAGTACATATACGGGGAACGAGTTTGAACAAACACCTAACCAACTGTACTGTATTGGGCAGAAACTATGATAATTTAGATAGTGTCCCGTCCATGTGGACTTTCTGTAGACAGATTGTTTTACTGACTCATCTTCTCTGCGGGTTATGAGTACATCTAAAAATGGCAGGCAACCATTATTCTCTTTAACGACACGATACGATACCACCGAAAACTAGACGCAAGATGAGAAAAAGAGAAGACAGACCATTGATGTGAGAAGCTTTCACTGTGTCGTATCAACAGAGAAAGATGGTTGACAGGACTTGCGTATATATATACTCCAAATGACCTTAAGAGACACTAACTATACTGACTGATTAAGACAGCCAACAACCAATAGGATTCCAAGGTCGTAGGTGGGGTGAGGGAAATACAAGCAGCAATGCCGAGATAAATGCAGTATTTTAGGAAAATTAGGTCTACATAATAATTATTCAAAAGTCAGATTGCAGTTAGACAGGATATATCCTAATACCTCACCTTACATCCAGAACACCTAGACATTAAATAACCCAGGAAAAGTCAAACTAAGAGGAAAAGAAGACTATTAGAAGGCACTAAATGGTGTTCAAAAAGAAATTCTAAGAACCGCAACAGACAAAAATGAGATATGTGGTATTGCAGTTCAAATGGAGAGAAGACACGAGTATGAGTGTGGACATATTAGCCGGTTCTAAATTATATTATCTTTCATGATAAATTATTTAAGCAAAAATCAAAACAAAACTTTTTCTTAAACCCGCTGGGATTAATTTAAATAATTTATCATAAGAAACTTCAGCTCAAATTAAGCTTCAGTTTTATCGGTATCACTAACAAGTGAATACCAGATGGAATAAAACACAATTCCAGAGATTAATGTTGACTGCTTAAAATAATCAAGTGTTGACACTGTTGATCAACACAACAGTAGTTAGCCAGTTGAGACCTCTACATTCCTTCAAAATAATTATTGTTACTACCTTTAGTAGTGTTTCAGTAGTATGAATTTTGTAACTAAAATCTCTGTGGCTATCGTCTTCACTAGATGACTGAAACACTAAGCTAAATAAAGCAAGATGTCGTCTTATTGTTTTTTCATAAATTTATCAATCGATTAGCTTAGCAGATACTTGAGTAAACAAATTTACATTTTCTCTTGGTCAGTTTTATTTCTTATTGTTTTTCTTTTTAAAGATTACTTGGCCAATGATGAACCAGTTGGATATCTAACCCTACAAGTAGAAATATTTAAACATCCTGGTACCGGTGAATATAAGGTGAATGTCAAGAGTAAGTGAATACAGTGTTATCAGTGTTATGCTCAAAATTACTTTATCTTTGTTATTATTTATTCAATCCTTGCGTTACTTGTGAAAAATTGAACTTCAGCTTTCCATTGCAATCTATTCTCTACGGTCATTTTCAATTAGCTTCAAGACTAACAAACACAAGCTATCCTACTCCTCACACAGACTTCCTCGTGCTGCTGTTCGATCTAAACCCATGTCAGGTTCCAGTCGAAATTCTGACACTTGATATCACTTGACGTTTTCCTCGGTTTATTATGTCCAATCCTGTTCCGTACCCATCTGCATAAGTGATGAATCATTAGGTTTTTAGCTGGTGGACGCTGCCTAAGAGGTCATTGTTTTATCCTTATACTTTGTGGCAACCCGCTCAGCCAGGCACTGATAGAAATCTGAAAGAATTTTAGTTGGTCCCTTTAAATAATTATAAAACAATACAGTTATCTCAGAGAAGTTCTGACGTTCTAATGATCGTCGTATTTGGAGATTTTTTCACAGAAAACTCCATTACCCACAACATTTACAAAAATACGTAGTAGAAGCATGCTCAAAACTTAATAACTCATAGATAGTTGAACTTTGTTCATGGTTTCGGCATAAGCAATATTTTAACGCCTTGTAAATCGACATATTTCCAATTAAATTGAATATTCCCATAATTTATTCAGAACAAAACAGTTAGAGCGAACAATTGTGGTTTCAATAAATCCGTCTTCTTCAGGCTGTACAATTATAAATCCATTAATTTAAGCATACAATAGCCAGCCAGCCGTCAAAGGCAAATTAGAATCATATCAGAAAGTGTATTGTGAAACAAGTATAAGTAAGATGGGATGGAACAATAGTCAGTTAGTTTTTTAATATGCATGGTCAATGAGAAAATGAGATGAAGTGATTTAATTCAATGACGTGTGTGTATATATATAAATATAGCTAACAGAAAAATACAGGTTTCGAGAGTGAGTGTAATCAGGGTGTGTGAGACAATATGAAAAATCAACTCAGCGTCTGCTTAAATGTATTCTCAAAACGATACCTACAGGTATTATAAAGTGAATCTTGCATGAAGGATAGTTATTATTCTACTGCTCATAAGGGATAACGAGGCGAGAAATAGTCTCTCTTCCTGACACTTTTTAATTTCCATTTGTTCGTGATACACACCCCTCTAAAGTTAGTCATCACTAACTGATGTCAGCTTGTAATGTAACTTGAAGTCGACCAAATGGCTATCCAGTATTTTATTTTTCTGTCACTTAATGTCGATAACTTTTGAGTACTGAAATTTATCTTAGAAAACACACAGAATCTTCCCACTTTTCTTTTTGTGCTCATAGTTCACACAGCTTCTGATTTGAATTGGTCACTTGCCTCAGGAATGTTTCGACCATATGTAGAAGTCTTTTTATTCGGTCCATTACTGTCAGATCGTAAGCGTAAAGTGGCGACAAAATCAAAGTCGGTTACTACAATGCCTACCTACCATGAAACATTTGTATTGTAAGTTGTTGTTTGTTTTGCCTGCTTTTACAGATTATGAAAGATAGTGAATTCATTGTATATTTGATTATTGGCTTTAGATAGGTATAACAGTTTTGGATAAACAACGCCGGTTCATCAGTGACGGCTAGACAGTGTGCATACAATTGCACAATTGCATAATGCTACACAACCACTACTGGCTGATGATAATATGAACAGTTGAAAACTACTCACACTAACCGGCAGGGCTTGCTAATCCAAAAACAAGCGACCTAAACACTGATTGTCCATTTTGCCTACTTTGAGCAAATTATATGACTGGTTCGAAGTGAGTGAGAGATCATCAGTTTCTTTTGGAAATCAAAATTATTCTGTTTGACATTAACACACAACACGTCAAATGAACCACTTTCGAATTTATTTTGAAATAACTGTAAAACGGATAATGAACATTCTAATTATTAATGCACCTTTAGAATATCGCCAATTTGCAGTTTAACCCAATTTATGAAGGTAGATATTATTTGCATAGTGAGCTATCCCTTGATTTTCACAGTTTCTCCCTTAGTCTTGTTTGATTTCTCATTACTTCTTTTGGTATATAGTTGAGTACTTATGAGCCATACGTAAAATACTAAGTCGTATCATCCTGGAGAGAGTAAAAGATGCACTGGATACAGAACTCCGCCAGCTCAGAACAGGTTGGATTCAGGAAAGGCAAATCATGTGTTGATCAAATTGCAACTCTATGCATCGTCATCACAGGACAAAGCATAGAATGGCAGTCAAACCTCTACCTCAACTTCCCTCATCAGCTTCGAAGACGCCTTTGCCAAGCAGCATTGACCAAGAAGTAATCTGGAAACCACTTCAACACTATGGAGTGCAGTGCCCAAGTCTTTATCAACCTCATTCAACAGCTGGCTATATCCCAATACCACTTGTCAGGTGATCCACAACGGAAAACTCAGGGAAGAAACCTTTGAAGTCAATATAAGAGTTAGACAAGGCTGGTTGGCTGTCTGTTACCACCAATGATATTCTCAATTGCGGTGGATTGGATTATGCGTTAGACTATGATTGGGAGCGAGGAGACAGAAGTACCCTGGATCAACAGTGAGAAGACTCTGGAAGATCTGGATTTCGAAGATGATATATGTCTAATGTCACACAAAGTCGAAGACTTACAGGCAAAAACCAACAAACTGACAGAACAGGCTGGCAGCGAAGACAGGAGTTCACGTGAACATATTGTGGTTAGAATCGGAAGTCCCACTCTCTACCAACTGGCATAAAAACACTATTTTGTTTTTCAAGTGTTGGTTTGTAGGGATTTGATCGGTTACAGGATTTCATCATGAGCTGACATTGGTTAGAGAGCCATTGGAAAACCTGGGAGTACTGGACAGCCGTCTGTTTCGTCCTCGTTTGGGACTCTTCATCAGTACGCACCCACCGGGATTCGAACCCAGGACCTTCTGGTTACAACGCGAGCTAGCTCGCAGACCATTAAGCCACTGGAATCCGATCCAATGCCCAGTCCATGAATTCCAACTTTTGCCGATTCATGACATAGCGCAAGCGCTAGCCAATGTCTTCGGCGAGTATCTGTCCTCACAGCCGACCTGCTGCACCCTACTGGTCACGACTTCTCACTAGAACCCCAGGTAACTACCTACCTGAATAGGGCAAGTCGCTGGTTTGCTTATACGTGAGAATACTAATCAAGAAAGAGTATTTTGCTCATTCCTTTTTTCTTTTTTTTTACTTTTGTTTTCTTCCTAAGTTTCTTATCAAATCAAAGTGATCCTGAATGGTATGAATTACACTTGGCAGTGAAAGATTATTGTTTTGGTCGAACAGATCGTCTTGTCGGTGTCACTGTCTTATCCTTATCTAGAGCATTAAATCTTGGTGCAACACCGATTCGACTACCATTAGGTCGACGATTGCATTTTACTGAAACCGGATGGACAGTGTTAAGAGTTCTATCACAACGTGTCAATACAGATGATGTGGCCAGGGAATTTGTCCGGGCTAAATCAGAATATCGAGCTATTTCAGAGAATGATAATGTGACATTACAACAAACAGATGAATAAAGGCCTATTTAATTAATTATTATTATATTGCTAACATTATGCATATATATATATACATATATATATATATATATATATATATATATATGCCTACAGAGATATTTTTCCAATGACAGATTAAATTACACAGGAAATCTATACAAATCAAGAGATTATGTGAAGAGAAAAACACCCAGAGCACCCAGAGTTATATATACCATTACAGTATTTTTCACTTTTGTTCCCTTTTACTCCTTCTGAAATTCGTTATACTACTTTATATTTATATTTACATTTATACGGACTGCAGACAGTTAGTTCCACACAAACATACCATGTGTACACTTCACATCTCAGCGCCTTTATACATATATATATACAGCATGTACAACTGCTTTTGTATCTGAGATAATGAATAACTATTATTATTATTATTACTATAATTATCATTATTATTATATACGTATTACGCACACATATGCACACACACACACGCAAACAAACAAACGATTACTTGTGCATTTAGAGGAGCAATTATGAAGCATGAATATATATACATATTACAATTTAAGGGCTTATTACTTTCCTACGCCAAAAGAGAAGGATAGAGTTTATTTAATATTCCTGTTATAAACCTGATTGATTTATATAAAAATTTCCAACTTGTTGTATTATTCTCATTTTGTTTATTATTTGTGTAAAAATGTGTGTGAGTGTGAAAGAGGAAATTAAAAAGAAGAATGGATCAAAATTGATGACAACTCTTCACATCTCATACATGTGTGGTTGCATTTCCCATTGATAAACACACATATATTTTTTTCAAGTAGTGGTTTTGTAGGGATATCGTTCGATTGATCAGAGGATTTCATCATGAGCTGACATCAGTTAGAGAACCATTTGAGAACCTGCAGGGAGTACTGGACAGCTAGATGTTTCGTCAGCCTAGTTTGGGACTCTTCACAGTACGCACCCACCGGGCTGAATACAAAACCAACACTTAAAAATTCATCTAATGCTCACTACTGACTGGCCCTATTCAGGTAGGTAGTTACCTGGGTTTCTAGTGGGAAGCAATGACCAGTAGGGTACTGCAGTTTGAAGGTGAGGCAGTAACTCATCGAAGAAGACATTACGAAGTGGTCGCTCTATATCATAAATTGGCTTTCACTACTCTCAAGTCTGTGTGGAGGTCAACAGCCAGCACTCAGCATCAAAAATAAGATCCGGATTTTCAACTCCAATGTGAAGTCAGTGCTACGTGTTATACGGATCAGAGACTTGCACTGCGCGTCATAAAGAGCACCTCGAACAAACTACAGACCTTCATTAACAGTTGTCTTCGCTCAATACCACTCAAGATCAGATGGCCAGAAAAGATCAGCAATACAGATCTTTGGGAGTGAACCAACCAGGAACCGGTTGTGAAACAAATAGGCAGGAAGAAACGGAGATGGATTGACCATACTCTGAGGAAACCATGAAGTGAGTGACATCACTAGACAAGCCATCGCTCGAGTGGAACCTGAAAGGGAAGAGGCGAGTTGGTCGTCAGTGCAAGGGTGACATGGAGGAAGTCATGTGAAGAGGAGATGAAAACGTGTGGGCAGATATGGAGCCAGGTGAAGACTCTAGCAGAGAACCGAATGCAATGGAGACGCACGGCTGAAGCCCTATGTTCCTCTAGGAATTAAAGGAAACAATAATTTTTACTTTTTTTAAAGATGCAAAACTGTTTCTATGATAATCACTCAATCGTACCATAACATACTTAGCCTTTGCTTCTTCTTAAGCATGTCTTAAACACAAAATCTCGTTCTCAACAAAATGATTATTTCCACCTATTTTGTGTGCTACTACTTATTAGTATGTTTAGTGACTATGATCCTAAGGTTAACCAATTAGACACTGATTGATATGCAGTTTGAAAATTTGTTTTCTTAAAGGTTTGACCTTATCCCATCATCGGACGATGAACTAACTAGGTTCAAAACGACGCTAGTTGACAGATGCCAACATTACAAAATAGTAGACATTCAGTAAATAGTCTGTTTTATAAGCAACACAGAGAAGCTCTAAGAGAACTTAGAAGTAACGAAAGTTTAATTATTAGGAAGCCAGATAAAGGTGATGGTGTAGTTCTACTGGATAAAAGCGATTACGTTGAGAAAATGGAAGGTATTTTGAGTGATCGAACTAAATTCCAATCTCTTGGTAGTTCCAAAGACCTCAATGTAAGAGCGGAGAAACTAATGACCGACTCTCTCAAAAAAAACTGAACCAAAAAGGAGTATTATCATCAGCCATTTATGAGTCTATGAAACTAACAGGTACCAAAACCCCACGTCTTTACGGTCTACCCAAAGTGCACAAACCGGGTCTTCCTATTCGCCTTGTTTTAGATATGCATAACTCTCCATTTCACGGAACAGCGAAGTGGTTAGTGAAGACTCTGGGACCTTCGCGCAGAGAAATCGTGCGACATTGAATTAGTGATGTCTTCAACTTTATTTTTAAAATATCCGAGACTAATGTGCATGTTATCCATGGATGTATCATCACTATTCATGAATGTACCACTTATGGAAACGGTAGATTACATTTGTCAAGAAATCACTGAAAGGCAATTGGTCTTAGGAATTTCCTTTTATAGCCCCAAAGAATTACTCCTTAAACGCACAATGAAGGCTCACTTTGTCTTCAATAATTCATACTATCAACAAGTAGATGGAATAGCTATGGGTTCACCATTAGGCTCAATATTAGCTGACTTCTTCTTCGCAAAACTTGAAAACGGCAAACTGAAAGATATCATCAAGGAGTTTGATATGTATTACCGATATATCAGTGATACATTTATCTTAGCTGATGAGAATGTCAACATAGACGACTTGTTGATGAAATTCAACAATGTCCACCTTTCGCTTACCTTTACTTGTGAAGAGGAGCAGGAGAATAAACTACATTTCCTGGATGTCTTGCTAAGTAGGAGAGAAGATGGGTCACTTGGGAGAAGCGTGTATAGAAAAAGCACATTCACAGGGCAATATACACACTTCCTTAGTTACGTGCCCATTAAATATAAAAGAAATGTTGTTAAATGTCTTACGAGCAGAGCAAGAAAGATATGTACGGATGACCTCTTACAAAAGGAATTTGAATATATTCATGATTCCTTGACAGAGATGGACTATTCGAATAGTTTCATAAAGAAACATATGAAAACATCACAGAGAAAACCTGAGACGATGACTGCAAGTAAAAAGCCTCTATTTATTAAGTTACAATTTAATGGTGACTTATCACGTGAGATTTCATTCCAGAGACTTTCCAGGAGTACTCGAAGAACGTTTAACACAGCATACCTATGTTTGTTATTCTTTAGCCGACGAATGATTGGGATGCAAACGAAGGATAAGCTTGATAGTTTTGCCACATCTATGTGCATTTATCAATTCAACTGCACCTACGGTGACAGTTATATTGGGCGTACTACTAGACAGCTTAGCCAACGTGTTAGTGAACATCTCCCATACTGGTTTGGCAAAGGACAGACAAAAACAATCCGTAGCTCAATTTTGTCACACTTAATTGATAGTGATCATGTAATCGAGAAAACGAGAGCCTTCAAAGTAATTCATCGTATCCCACCGAATCTTTCCAATAGACTTCTTATTCGTTTATTGCACAGAGCTGGGGCGATAGGCATTCGAACTATTAAACCTAAACTATGCATTCAAAAGAAGTTCGTACAGCCATTATTCCTCCCTTGTTGGCCTATTAAGACATAGCTAACTAATGACTTCTACACCACTCCTTACTTATATTTTCAACTCTTCTCTTATCATCCCTTAATCTTATCACATCTTCATTAAAAACGTGTTTCATTTCCTTCCCTTACAATCTAACATTACTTAATCGGTTCATTTACCAGCCTTTATCGACTACTCCCCCCCGAACATTTGTTTATTTAATCATGCTGTTTTTCGTTATTCGTGTTATCACGGATTACCTCACTTTTTCATCCTTATTATTGATAAAACCATTATTACTATTATGACTACCTGCACAATTTATACTCACCATCTTATTATCCTATAGACAAAACACCATGATTGGTTTATATTTGAATTTTTATTGGTAAAGTTATGTTTATTAGAGTTAAGCCTGATGACATCTAATTGAAACCACAGTATTGTTCGCTTAAATGTGTTGTTCTACTTGTAAGTAGCTAAAATAATTCACCTAAGAAATTTAATGTTATCAGTGGGGATTTAGTATAGAAGAGACTCCGAATTCATATTTATGAAAAACAGATATGACAGATTAAAAAAAAACCCTGGAGATTAGAGTGCTTTTAAGGGAAACAGTAGGGATTTGACTTCAAGAAATAAATAATTCTTATTAATACGCATTAAGTGGAGGTCACGATATATCTTATGATCAGTTATAGTTTTAGTTTCCACAGGAAACAGTGATGAATTTTATCCTGAAGTCGTGCGCTTTGCTAATGGTGAACTTGTTTATGCATATCACTATTCCACAATAATAGCTAACCAGAATTCCACGTGACATCGACCGACTAAGCTCTCTTAGGTAAGAGAGTCAAACCGAGTACACCACTTTTGCGCTCAGGTATAACCAAGCACAACAGCCATCCGGTCAGTAGATCACTTCAGTCCGACTAGTGAGCACTGCTTTTTGACCTGGGCAGTTTCTGCCTACCCATATCAACTAATAGTATGTATATGTAACCGTACTATTTTATGTCAGTATTGAATGCAGATTTTAAGATATCTGAAATAAGGAAAAAAAACTGAATTTCTGCCCTTACTGATAAGATTTTATTTTTCGATAAACCACACAGTGTTTGTTATTCAGTAATATTTACTGATGATCACGTTTCGAGCACAAATTATTACCGCTCATAATCACATCAAGTCACTAACACAGTTTTCTTCCTTCATTTATATACATGAGTATAAACTGATTAGACATTTGAATAAAATCAGTAATATAAGATAAAGTACATTTAGAAATAATAATATGAGTGCTATTGATCAAATACAATTAGATGGGAAATAAGACGAGTGCTTTTATAGTCAAAATGAGTAACTTGTTAGAATGTTATAATGTGCGTGAACTGAAATAGAATTTTAAGATTATTTATTATCCTCCTCTGATTTGACTGGTGGTAATACTATCTTCCATATATCTATATATCTCTGGAATTTGCGTTGAGCAATTTCACTTGCATGTGTTGAGTGTATACTCAATGAACCAGGACTCAGTAATCAATCTCTCTCTCTCCACCTACCTAAATTACTTATTAGAATTTT